GAGCAGCAATGGAGATGAGAAGCAGAAAAAAACTCTTAGAGTAGGAAGGTTTGGAGGTTTCAAGAAAAGGCTGATTGATCGCCATGATTGACGGTGGCTGAGAGATTTCTGTATGGCAAAGTTGTGAAGTGTGTGACAAATGCTTAAACGAGACCAATTGGGACCAAAATAGGAGACATTAGTAGTGGTCCTACACTTAAGGTTGAGCCCGGATATATCAATTGGTGCGGGTAACTTTTTCTTTTTTTTTTCTGGAGAACATGTTTATCATTTAAAATATGTGTAAAATAATTGACTAAAATTTGGTAGATAAAGAATAATGTAATAAGAATGTGTAAATATAAATAGTAATTATTGGAATATCATCACCAAAAAAAATTCATAAAAACCCGGTTTGGGTTCCTTTTTATGTGGTTAATTATATAATCATATAAACTAATCCCTTAAAACATAATTTGTTGTCTTACTTTTTCCGTTCTTTTTTGTTTTTGAAAGGTTATCTTACTTTTTTTTTTTTGTAAGGCATTGTTCTTTATTATTTTTGTTGTCTGGTTAGATGATTGATCGATTAGTAGGTAGCTGAATTGCTACGCGTGACGTACACACCTCGAGGTTGTGGTACAGTCCACGAAATACGGAGATATACGATGGAAATCACAAAGTAGTGAGATTCCACGATGGAGAATTTAATAGGAATGAGATATCATTCAAAGGGGGTCGTGGTACTTTGTTAGAATTGAACGAAGAATTCAAAAGACAGCAATTTATGACATACAAAACTTTAGTATCTAACAATTTTCTGAACCCCTTTTTTATACAAAAGAAAGAGCCAAGTTACAATTAAAATGGAACCTTAAGAAAAGAAAAATTAAGAGTTTACTATAAGCATAACAATAACATCATTTTAACCAACCATAACCACATAAAATTAAATAATTAATCAACAACAAACAAAGAATAAAAAACAAACCGAAACACATTAATTAAAAGAAAAAAAAGCCAAAAATTATAAATTAAGCAACAGAATTAAGAAGTAGCACTATTTTGATTCTCTGAGTGCGTTTGAAATTGATTTTTACTTCTTTTTGAAAACGTTTTTGCATACATTTTGAGACACGAAAATAAAAACGATCTTCAAACTATGTTTGTTTAATAAATGTTTTAAAAGCGAAAATGAAAACAAAAAACAATAAGAATGATTTTTGTAAATGAATTAAAAAATGATTAAAATTTATTTTTTTTTATTTTCATTCTTAGTATTTATCAACAATGTTATAATATAGTAATTAATAATTATAACTAAACACGATTTTACTTTTTTATTATACTTAAAATAATCTTTAAAAAACTAACTAAACGTAATTTTAAAATTAATCTCAAATTTTTTTAAAAGTCTCGTTTATTTCACCGATTTGAGTTTACAATTCAAGTTTTGTTATAGTAAAAAGCTCTCAAACACAATCATATCAAATTTTTTTACTACAGTAAAAAACTCTCATATAAAATCTCATCTCAACTCAAATTAAAAACTCAAATCAGTGAACTAAACGAACCTAAAACAATCTCATTTTTTCTTTTGTATTGAAACTAAAATTATTTTAAAACGTTACCAAACGGCTCTTCTGTTTTCTCGGCACACCCAATCTCGGATTCGATGACCCAGAGGAGATTCTCGTTGGCTCTGCTCCTAGCAACAAATTCCAAAGAGAATCTAAGAAATGGAACGAGGCTTCCACGAGGGAGCTCGCGGCTGAGATTGCCTTTCTGTAGTGTGGCGGCCGCGGCGGAGATCGCGTCGTGGAAGGTTCTCGAAGCTCCGGTGGTGCGGATTGCGACTGGAAGTACGTACGAGGATGCCCTTCGGAATATGGAGTAGAAAGCCTTGGCCATCGTCTTCATCACCTTAATGGAATTAAATTAAGAAATTATGGATATTTTTAAGCTTAAACCGGGGGAGAAAAAAAAGTAAAATTCTAATTATTTTTATCAGAAAAACTATTTGGATTTTAATTTAAGGGGTCAATTTTAAAATTAAGAGTTTGAATTATTATTTAATAGTTTGAATTATCTTTATCAATTATAATATGAATTGAATTTTTAGTTCGGATTGAAACAAAAAACACAAAAAGCCTTGTGTTGAGTGTTCTTTAAATAAAAAAGAAATAGTTGAAAGAGAGTTTAATTATTTCTCATTAATCTCATAAATGGTCCTTAAGATTTACTTTAAGTTGGTCTCTGATTTTTAAATCGTCTTATAGTTAGTTCTTGATGTTTTATTCGGTTTCAATTTTAATCATTTTGTTAGTTTAATGTTAAATATTTGACAAAAAGTTTAGAAATTAAAGACTAAAATTGAAAACATATAAAATTTAGAGATTAAAACAATATAAAAAATAAAAGTTAATTTTCACATATAGTCTTTAAATTTTAATTGTTTTCAATTTTAGTTCTTAATTTATATAGATTCTATCAAATTTTAACGCTTAGTTAATGCAAAGACCAAAACTGAAACAAAATAAAACTTTAAAGACTATATGTGGGACGCTTAAAAAATTAAAAACTAAAGTGAAATTGAGTGTAAACATCATAGACAATTTGTGAAATTAAACCATTATTTCTCTTTTTTAAAATTTTAATCACTAATAATAAAATTCACAAAGAATTTCTAAAATTTAATAGAACTAACCATCTCCCAATCGGGGAAAATTATAGAAATAATAACATAAAAATGCAAAATATTCTTATTTTTACCAAATAAACACAATGTTATATTTTACTATTGTGTATCGTATATTGTTAAAAACGTATACAAATTAGAACATTATGTATTTAATATAACTATTTCTGTAAAATTTTCAGTAACATCTGATAATTGTGATTATTTATGATAAATTTAGAAATATTTTCTTTATTTTAGTTTCAATCAATAAAATTGCTAAGAAACAAAGTGTGAGAAGTAATTTATCAAGAAAAAAAAAAAATATAGACCAAAATAACAAAATGCTTATTGCTCTGAGACTAACGTTGCTAATAACTCAACTGAATGTGTTGTTTTTCTCCTTCCAAATAGCGGTGATTGTTGTTTCTACCGTGGTAAATAATCATTACATGTTATTTAGTCATTTTGTTCTCATAAAGGTGTTGCTAGAGGTGAAAGTTTACGCCAAATATAAATTTTGGGTCGAGTTTGGCCGGTCTTAAATGAGAGATGAACGTTTACGACTCAGTGCGGTCTTAAAACACAAAAAGTTTAAAGCAGTTCAAAATTTTATAAAGTATTTTTTTTTTTTTAAAAAAACTTTTAAAAAGAGGGCATTTGGCCAATTTAAATAAACTTTTAAGCTCAAAATCTTAACACCCCCTAACAGGAGGTTAAGATTGGGCCAGACCAATTCCAATAGTGGCAGGCTGGCCCCAAACATACAGCTTCGGGTGTTGCTCACATTTTCTTTCCCTCTCAGTGCTTTTTTTTTTTTTTTTTAATTGAAAAAAACACTTTGATACTAAGAGTTTATTTGAAAAGTAGCTTTAAATCCGGTTTAAATGGTTTGGCCACAGTATGTTTTCTCATAAAAATTTAAATTTTAATTCAAATTATGAATCAAATGGTTAGACCTTAAGTGTTAAAGAAAACAAAAGAAGCAATATGCATTGATATCATGATCATAATAATATTAAAATGATAATTTGATATTTAAAAATGTCATTTGGACCCTATATCTTGGACATGTACTTCATACCCTTTTAATTAATTAACCAAAAACTAATAATTTTAAAAAAGAACATTTTTAAAAAATATATATTTAAAAATAAATGATCAGTTTGGTATCTTTTTTTTAAAAGAGTTTTTTTTTTGACTTAACACAAAAAAAAAAAAAAAAAAAAAAAAAAAAAAAAAAAAAAAAACTAAAAATGTTGTTTGAATACATGTTTGGTGACATTTTTTTAAAAAAATTTTATGTTGTGGTCACAGCTAAGGCTTAGGCTGCCAATGAGTTGGGACTTAGAACCCGTGTCAAGGTCTGAATGACGAGCCAGAGTTGAGATTGGATCGGCAAGCAGGAACAATATTGGGGTTGAACCGAGCAGCCACGATTGGTATATGGGTTAGGCAAGGACATTGTCATTGGGATCAAACAATGGGTAGAGACCTGTCATTGGGATCAAACAATGGGTAGAGACCATCAGAAGGATTTGGCCAACTAGCCAAGATTGTTGTCAGGGTCGGGCCAATAGACCTTCAATACGTAGATCGCGGTCAAAAGGATTGGGCCAACTCGCCAAGATTGTTGTCAGGGTCGGGCCAATAGACCTTCGATACGTAGATCACAGGTCAACAGGCCACGATCGATACCTAGATCAGGCCAACAAGCTAAGATCAACGTCTATGTTGGGCAGATGAGTCTAGATCGATGCAGAGGTTAGCCTAACTAGCAAGTATGAGCAGAGATTGTCGTCAGGATCAAGTTTATGAGCTGAAAATAGCATCAAGTATAGGCCAACAAGTTAGGACTGGCAATGGGGTCAAGCCAACGAGCCAAGATCGATGCTAGGTTCAACCCAGGATTGGTAACTTAATCGAGCCAAGACCATCATCGAGATTCGGCTGACATCCTAAGAAAACCGTTGTAAAAAGGCCGGCCGACATTGATTGCTACTAGTGTTTGGTTAACAAGTCGTGACAAGTGTGAGGGCCAGGCTAACGTGCTGGGATAGTTATTGGGGCTGTGCTGGAACAACCATTGAGGTCGGGGTCGAGTCTAGTATGAGATTGGACCGATAGGATGGGACCTTCATCAAGGTCAAGCCATCACGCTGCGCCGACACAATTCGAATGGCGGTCCCAACCCATCAACCTAAACCCAACATCAATATCGGCCCGTCTGGCCAACCACAATGGTGCTTCCGTCCCAATCAGCTGACACTAAGCATAAGTCTAATGAGTAATAAAGTTTCTCAATAACTCCAAGCAAATCAAGGCAATTTGGAAAACCATATTACCAGAGCAAAAGCAAATCCCTATTTTCTAAGTAGAAAAATAAGAAAGTCTCATACACAAATGTTTTACAACCATATTACCAGACAAATGAAATCCTTGTTTTCTTAATACGAAAATGAGAAAGGCTCTTATACCAATGTCTTAGGAGAATCTTCAGAAACAGATGAATAATCCGGTAGCATCTACAATTGCTGTCCATTTTCTCCCTTGGATTGACGCTGATATAACTACTCAGAGTTCACCATCCCAGAAATCCTCAAGAGTTCGATATGGACCATAAGTATCATGAACGAATGAGGTTCCCCTGAGGAGTCTTGCCTGCAAATTGAAAACCAATTTACCAGTCAAGTGGCTACGGTAAAAACTAAAAACTACAATATTGTAGACAATGTCAAGAAATTTCCAATTAACACCAATTGCACATTCTTGGCAACAGTGATCATTTAAGAATGGTGATTTGCTTCTTTTTTTTAATTATTTTTTCCCTAAAAAAATGATTTGCTATAATTCTTGTTGATAATCAGTACTGAAGATTTAAACCTAGAGGCAGCATAACTTCATTGGTGATAATCAGTACTGAGAAGGAGTCAAGAACTAAACGTATCAGATAAACACTTGCCTGCTCAATTTCACCAAATTTAGCAAACAAGTCCTCAGGTATAGACCAACCGAAAACATCAAGATTCTCTTTGATCCTTGATTCATTTGTACTCTTAGGAAAAACACTATGACCCATTTGCAGGCCCCAACGAAGAGCAACCTGTGCAGGGGTTTTCCCTAATTTCTCTGCAACCATGTTGACAATTGGATTCTGGAGGACATCGCTTTTGATCCACGTAGTGCCAGGAGAACCCAAAGGTGAATATGCCTGAAAGAGACATAATAGTTCATATAAAATATCCACCTATCTCAATATGGAGTTGAAAATATTCACATTGATATATAGAGAAGGGAGCCTTTTAGAGCTACGTAAATCCACTAAAAAAGGTAGGCAAAAGATCAAAAACCCAATAAAATGTCAAAACACACACATAAAAAAGTAATTTAATGGAGGAACACTCACCGATAGGTGAACTCCCTTGGATCTACACAGTGCATGTAGCTTGTCCTGCCTCCAGGAAGGATGACATTCCACCTGGTTAACAGCAGGAGGAACGCATGCCACATCCAGCATATCTCTCAATTTCTTTGTAGAAAAGTTGCTTACACCAATAGCTTTAGCCTTACCTGCATCATAGAGCGCTTCCATTGCACTCCAGGTGCCTGGTATATCTAGTTGATCAAGGTTTTCAGGCTTAAAGCCTACTGATCCTTTTTTCATCCGCACTGGCCAGTGAATCTTCAAACAAGCAGCTTCATTTAGTTAGTATTGAATAATTTCATCACTAGTGTAGTAGAATTTTCAAAAACCTCACAGTTGTTATCTAAAATCTGAATAAGGAACATTCATCTAACACAAGTCAAGTCGCTAGATTGACAGGAAAAAATCATGTCTGGAACTCTTGACTTCCTCAACAAATGCGCCTACTTCTTATAAAACCTCTTCTCTAAATAAATATTTTAAATAAAGAAATTTCCTTGACCAAGATCTAGGCACAGTTTTCTCTGTACTGGGCTTCTAGATATGTAATAAGTTAAACAAACTGTTGCCCCAGAATACAAGATAAACTACTTCAAAATAAGTTTGAAAGTACTATAGAAGAGATACAAGTCAACAAAGTCAAGCTGCTACATGGAAATAAGTTTGAAAGTAATACGTACGAGGTATAAGTCAACATAATCAAGCTGTAAGTCTCCCAAAGTTCTTTCCAATGCCTTTGGTACATCTTCTGGTGCATGATCAGTATTCCTGTGGACCATCTTGCTTTTAAGATGTATAGACCATAAAAGTCCCTTGTGATATGTTTAGCTTTAGATAGCAGAAATAAGAGGCAAAGTTTATTAACTCATAGATGAGTTTGTTCAAGGTTTGGATTTAGGTTTTCTCCAAGAATAAGACCAGGAATATCGTTCCTTTCATGCTTTTAGTCACTGCACAAATCAAAGTTCTCAATTCTCAAATCCATTCGTTTTGGTGGTATCACTTACTCTTAGTCTTTCAAACAAATGGAGAAATAAATCTTTCGTCTTACGGGTGTTTAAAAGTCTTGGTTACAAAAACTGTAATATTCGCAAACAGCAATATCTTTAAACTTATTTTTTGGGGAAAAAAAGTAGAATCCCGTCTTTTATTTTGCCATCCAAACACAGGTGAATGAATATATATATATATATATATATATTTATATATATTTATACACACATAAATATGTGTGCGTGTGTGTGTAATCAAAGCAAACAACATAAGAGCAATACTCAGTAATTTTGTATTAGCCATAGGTGTTCAATTTTTAATTTGAAAACAAACCATAATTTGGAGGTAATGAACAAATCCTCGCGCTTCACGACACCATCTTCAAATAGCTTCTTTAGAGCAGAACCAATCTACAAGAAACAAAAACTAGATGAGGTAACCTTCAAAACCTGTCAAACTTAAACATGTAATTAACGAGAGGAGGGTATAACATAATGTTAACCAGAAGACTGTCATAACTAAGTCCAAACAACAAACGGGCTAGGAGTGAACCACCATTCAAATATTTGCGTAACTCAAGCCAAAAGGAACATGATAACTAGGTCTGTGCTGATTTTTTTTTTAAATTATTTTTTATATGATAACGAAGTACTGCTTCTGTTCTGTTCTGTTCTTTTTTACTGTTTATTTATTTGAGGAAAGGAAGTGCCGTTTTTGTTATTGACAAAAACATAAACAGTATCCAGCTGCATCGTAACTGACATAAGGAAATAGATCAAAGATTAGTGCATGAAAAGAAAATTAAATATCTTTTGTTACTTCCAACGCTGAACGCATGAATATCACATATTCATCAACATGAAAAGATAACAACCTAACTCTAAACTTATTCACAATTTCATTGAGAAAAAAACATAGATGGAAGAGAATAGATTTCAGAAAATAAGCATACTAGACTTTGAGAAACAAATATAATTCAACAGAACAAATGCTATGACTTAACCAACATTAAGATCAATCTATCAATGCAATTCAACTACTAAGCACATAAACAAAAACGACGCCAATACTTTATGAGAATGGAAATTAAAAGCTTGAAAAATTTGACTTAGCAAAATTATGTGCATTTTACCTCTTTCTCATTACCATAAACTTGAGCACAATCAATATGGCGATATCCAACCTGCGGTGATAAATCAAAGAAAAGCTATTTTCATACTAGACTTCAACAATTAATTGCCAAAAATTAGCGATTAATCAATTAAAACGGGAGTAGAAATCTCCAAAACTGATTTACAAGAAGCCAAAATAATTTTTTCTTTTTCAAAATTAAAAACCAAAGCCTCGAATCAATTCCTAGCCCTACCTTGGAAGATAAATACTGATCGATATTTCCGATTGCTAGTTCAATCCATTACCATAAATTCGAGTAAAATCATCAAACAATTTAAAGCAGCGGAAAAAAAAAAACAAAAACTAACGAAAATTGAAGGAAATTTCCGCGTTCAGGATTCCAAATTAATTTGAGCAACATCCGAGCAAAGATCCGATCAGGATAATTATTAAGAACTAAAATGGCGACAGAAAAGTGGAAAGACCGTAATGGCGGCAGTGACGGCGTCGGCGACCAAACCAGGGCTAGACTGCCATGTCCCTAACCCCATAGAAGGAATTTTGGCGCCAGTGTTGAGCTCGAAATACAGAATATCGTCCCCCATTTTCAGACCTTCCCTTTCTCTTCCAAAAAATTCGGTGAAGGCGTGGTCTCAACACAGAAGGTGAGATGAGATTTGCAATTTGCAAGACTCTGATAATGAAAAGAGCAGAAAGCGAGAGAGCGCGACGCTTCTACAACTCACAAACAAATATAACGGAACGGCAGCAAGGTGCATGAGAAGGAAAAGGACAAATTGCCGTCTCAACGTTGTGCCAAAATTTTTTAGCTATTTGTCGCTTTCTTATTAATTATTCCCGCGTAATCATTTTATATTTTTATTATAATAAATAGGGAGTTTGACCGGTGTTTTATTTTTTTGTATGGTTAAATATAATTAAAATCACATTAAATTTAAAAAAAAGATGTAAAAAAAATTAATTTTAATATAAATTAAATTGATAAAAAAAAATATCGATTTTTTTTTAAAAAGAAAACACTAAAAAAAGTCCATAATAAATAAGAGATAAAATCATGAGAATTTTTAAAAATATAAATAAAGTAACATCATTTTATTTATTTTACACTGTCATTACTGTTAAATTTCTTTTGTAACTAATAATTTGTAGGTTATTTTTTTATATTTTGAAGGTTATTTTTCGTAATCTGTAAATTATCTTTCGTATTCTGAAAGTTATTTTTCATAGTGTCATTAAAATTTTGTATAATGACATAAATAATAGAGTTGGAAAAAATAACTGTTAAACTTGAAATTTTCTCTAAAATTATTTTAATACTCACTGTTATAGCAAAATATTTTGTTAATATTATATATTTTTTAATAATATTAAAACAATAATTTCACTTAATTTTTTTTTTAAAACTCTAATACCAATTTTGTAATGTCCAAACTTCTTTTTTATTAATTAAATAGAAATTTAATATTAATTTGTTGTTAATACTTTAAAAATTCCATAGATCCTATAGATATATAAAAACGCATGATAAGCTAGCAGGGTCAATTGACCTAATAACTTTATTTTTACATTTTTTTTTGATATGTTAATATATCGGTAGATTATCTTTTTTATCAGTAAAATTTACATAAAAATATATAAAAATTAAAAAGTATATAAATTTAACAGTTAAAAAAATTTATGTGACATTTGATTCATAAATTTAAAAATATGATTCATGAATTTAATTTTTAAAATTTAAATTTTTTATGAAAAAAATACTGTAAAAAATTAAAAATCATAATTCAAAACTAGAGATAAATTTTTAAAACAAACATCCCATTAATTTAATCTCCCTTTTTTCCACCGTTTATTATATTGAGGTTTATTTTTTCTTCTTTCTCTGAAGGTTTACTTTTTCTTAGTTACACGTGTTGCCTATCCTTGCTTATGGAAATGTGTACTGTGCCATTACGTTTTGCATAAATAATAAAATATTTTCTTCAGCAATATTCTTATTACACGTGTTAGCAAGGAACAAAAGGTCGGGTGCGTTTGGAATTGGTTCCAAAACGTTTTTATTTTCTGTACGAAAATGAAAATGAAAACGTTTTTAGTTTCATTTTTAAATTATTTCTAAAAATGCGTTTGGTAGTTTTATTTAGAGATTGATTTCAGTTTTAAAAAAAACTGAAACTGCGTTTGGTGGTTTAATTTTTGAAAACATGTAATAATATATTAAATAAATAATATTATTAAATATATTAAATAAATAATATATTAAATATATTAAATAAATAATATTATTAAATATATTATATAAATAATATTATTAAATATATTAAATAATAATATATTAAATAAATATATTAAATAAACATATATAATACAAAAACGGTTTCAGAAAAGAGGGAAGAAAATGAAAAAGAAAAAAAAAAGTGAAATCCGTTTTTGAGAAAACAGAAAACGAAAACAAGAAAATGAAAACACCTTTTTTTCGTTTTCTGATTTCCACAAAAAGACAAAAAACGTTTTTGGTTTTGTTTTTTAAAAAAAATTGCACCAAACACGTTTTTAACACCCGTTTTCATTTTTTTGCTTTGAAAACCGTAAAAAACGAAAACGAAAACGCAAACAAACGGGCCCAATACATACTAGTCAATAGCGGGCGGGTTAATGTAAAAAATACTATTATATTATATAAAAAATTAAGAATTTTTATAGTATAGAATTAATTTATATATATATACATATATATATTTATATAATATTCTAGCTAAAAGTTTGTTACAATTTTTTATTTTTTTTTGCTTTTTTAACTGTAAAATTCAAATTTTAAAAATCTTAATAATAATAATTAAGAAAGTTGAAAATTTATATTGGTGTTGTTGATGCTAGTAAGAACTTAATTTTTTAATTTTGGTGGAAAAATCTGTATACGTAAAAGTAAAAATAATTACATGAAAAGGTAATAAAAATTTTTAAATATGAAGTAGACCGTGCGCTTCGTGCGTGTGACTCATTTAAAATAACGGTTATACAAATCATCGAGAATTAAGAAAAAGACAAAGATAAAGAAAGGATAGAAGAATAGTAATAATTAATATATTATCATTAGTGACTACATTAATGACACGGGCGATATGTTGGCTCTGTGTTCTCTTCATGCGCTTATCGCAGCCGTTAATAATTTTGATCCGACCACCAAAGTAATTTCTAGTTTAATTTATTTAAGAATGTGCGACTTCATTCTATTTTAGTGTATTTTTATTTAATTTAATTTTTTATTCAAATTATTATACTATTTTCTTTTGAGAGGCTTTGAAAATCTAGTGCAAAATAATATTAAAATGGATAAAATCGACACCTTTCTTTTCCAATTTTTTTATTTTTTAGTTTTTGTTTCTTTTTAGTCTTAAACGTGCGCACGTGATTAATTTAAAATATTGGCTAACACAAATTGTTAAAAAAAAGGAAGTAAAAAAGACGACATAAAAGAAATAAAAATAATAACGGGGCAAAATCTTAAGCAAAGAGAGAAGGGAAATAATTTAACGTATTTTATTGTGTTTTAAATTAATTCTATTTTGTTATGTTTATTTTTTTATTTAATTTGGTGTGATTTTATTTTTCTTTAGCGTAATTTTATTATATTACTTATGGTACTTTTATCTAAATAATATTAAAAATTTGACATAAAACGGTAGTGAAACGGATAAAATTAGATTCCAAATCGATTCAAAATAGTAAACAAATATAATAAACAATAAAAATTTTAAAAAATAAATTGGAAATGCTTTGAAACCTTCTTATCAAAAATTTTGACGGCTTAAATTCGCGCAAGTGAGGAGCGTTCAACAAGAGTAGCAGCTACGCAATGGTGGGCCACGCCACTTTCTTCTTCGGCCAGTCGAAAGTCGACACATGACGACCTTCATGCGAAAGACCCAAAAACCCTGCCTAGGAAAGAGAAAAGAGAGGGGAAAGAAGGGCACACTTGGCAATTCAGCTACCAGTGGTGGCCACTTTCTCCTTCAGCCAATCAATAGTTGACACGTGGCAACCTCAAAGTGAAAGACTCAAAAACCCCTACCCGGGAAAGGGAAAAGAGAGAGGAAAGAAGGTAAATTTGACAATTTAAAACGAAGAGACAAAACCAGAATTTGGAGAATTTTACTGTACAATATACAGTGAAATGTGAGTGTGTGGACAGTGTTTCATAGCTTCCTTTTAGTATATTTTATAATGTGGAGTTAGATGTATGTTTATCAATAGTCTTCAAAAAAAAAAAAAAAGTTTTTGTTCTCAGCTTTTCTTCCTTATGTTCCGGATTTTTTTAATGATTTTTTTATTTATTTCTACAAAAGGAACGAATACACAGTAAAAGGATAAAATATAAAATTAATTATTGTTATATTTCTTTTGTTTATATTTTTTATTCACCAGAGATTTAAAGTTCATTTTAGAAAAGTTGATGTCTTTGGCCGCAATCAAGATGGAGATGTTCATACTAGAAAGAGACAAAAAACTTGAAAGTTGAAACTCAAAATAATTGGTATCAACAATAAGACAAAATATAAGTGAAGAAGAAGGAAAAAAGTACAGAGAATATGTTACAAAAAGAAAATTATGTTTGTAACAGTAAAAACCACATTTCATACTCATTCCAACGAAGTTAATCCTCAATATTGTTTTGCAATTTTTAAATATCACTTAACAATTATTAATTATATATACAATTTTTTAATTCTTTTATATAATTGTTTTTCAATGTTTCCTCTTTGAACAAGTAGAATTTAACAATACATAAAAGAGTCAAAATTTTTCTTTATGAGTGCACTTCTTTTTTTTTTTTTTTCATTTTTTACTTTTTTATCTTTATTTCTTTGTGAATTTTTTTACATTTTAATTTTTTGTGTATTTTTAAAAATACATTATTCCTTATTTTATTCTTATGAGAGTAATTTTTTCACATGTATTCCTATTTTATTTTTAATTTGTTACATAAAAGAGCCAAAGCTTTTCTCTACGTGGCAGCCCATTTACTTACTTTTTTTTCTTTTTCATTTTTTTACTTTTTTATATTTTTTATGAATTTTTTCACATTTTAATTTTTTGTGTGTTTTTTTAAAAATATATTATTCCTTATTTTATTTCTATGAGAGTAATTTTTTCACATTTGTTCCTATTTTATTTTTAGTTTGTTAAAATAATTTTGTTCAAATGTGTCCTTCCTTAAGTTTTTTTTTTTTTTCAATTGTTATCCTTACACATATTTTTTTTTTAAATAAATTTAATAATTTTTAAATAGTTGAATACATAAATTTCTCATTCTTCAGTAAATAATAAACTCTTCAGGTGTCTTTAACACAACAATATGTGTAAAATATATTATAAAACTAGTTACTAGATAAAAACAACAAAAGCAAAATATTAAAATTGATGAGGACTTCTTCGTCTCTATTTTTCTTAAATTTTTGAGGATATATAGAATTGTAAAATGTAATGTACGAAGGACCTATTTTTAAACAATGATCCATCCTTATAGATATTATTAGTCAAAAGTCCGCGCATTATTGAGAAAATATTTTTGCATGTTAAAATTTTGTATAGTATAGGATTAGTTTATATATACATATATATAGAGTTAAAAGTTTCTTACAATGTATTATAGCTTTTGTTTCCTTCTTTTCTTTTGTTCTTTTTAACTACAAAATACAAAAAAAAATTTTAAAAAAATTAATAATAATAATTAAGGAAGTTGAAAATCTTTAATTATATGTAGTGTAGATCAAAGGATTTAGAAGTAGTTATATTACCTGGTTTTTGGGCGTTTCTAGGTGGGTCTGTTGCCTTTAGTTCAGAACTGAATTGACTAAAGATTGTTAAGATATATATTCAAAATAGTAAATGTTGATTTTTATTGATAATTGATATAAATTAGTAAATATGTCTTACCTTGTGGTCAATCTTTTTGGGTCTGGTATTTTTAGATCTATTGTTGTAGCAGCTGATATTTGTGGTAGTGGTATTGAAATATGAATATTTTTGAAACAAGTGTAGCTATTTGTGCTCTCCTTTGTTGAAAATAAACTTGCAAGATTTTTGTTTGTCCTTTTAACAGAGCAATGATTGGTGGAATTACAAATGGAGCAGTAATACCTTCATCAAGTGTTAATGTTAATCAATTGTTAATGTAGAGCATGGTTTTTTGATCAATGCTTGTGCTGCTCTTCCAACCATTGAAGTAATTTCTAGTTTAATTTATTTAAAAAGGTACGACTTTATTTTCTTTTAGTGTATTTTTATTTAATTTTATTTTTCTTTCAAATTATTTATATTATTATCATTTGAGAGGTTTTAAAAATTTGGCACAAAATGATATTGAAATGGACAAAATTGGACCACAAATCAACACATTTCTTTCCCAATGTTTTTCTTTTTTAGTCTTTGTTTAGTTTTAGTCTCGAGCGCGCGCCATGCACACATGATTAATTTAAAATAACGGCTAACACAAATTGTTTTTTTTTAAAGAGGTAAAAAAGACGATATAAAAGAAATGAAAATAATAAAGGGGGAAAATCTTAAGCAAAGAGAGAGGGAAAATAATTTAACTTATTTCGTTGTGTTTTAAATTAATTATATTTTGTTTTGTTTATTTTTTTATTTAATCTAGTGTTATTTGATTTTAATTTAGGTATTTTTATTTAATTTTATTGTATTATTTATGGTATTTTTATTTAAGTAATATAAAAAATTTGACAAAAAACGGTGGTAAAACAAACAAAATTGAACTCCAAATCAATTCATAATGGTAAATAACTATAATAAAGAATAAACATTTAAAAAAAGGGGAAATAGTTTGAAACCGTTCGACCAAAAATTTCAACGGCTATGATTCGCGCGTGAAAAGCACGCGCAAGAGAAGCGCGTTGAGCAGGGAGAGGGTAGCTTCGCAGTGGTGGGCCTCGTGACTTTTTGGTTTGAAACCGTCTGATAAAAAATTTTGACAGCTGTGATTCGCGCGTGAAAGGCACGCGCAAGAGAAGCGCGTTCAGCAAAGGGAGGGCAGCTTTACAATGGTGGGCCCTGCCACTTTTTTCTTCGGCCAGCCGGGCATCGACACATGCCAATCCTAGAACAAAAGACGCAAAAGCCCATGCATAAGGAATGGAAAAGAGAAGAAAAAAGGGTAAAATTGACAATTTCATACTCAAATGACAAAAGCCAAATTTTAAGAATGTTACTGTTGAATAAACAGTAAATTGTAAGTGTGTGAACATTGTTCTATGGCTTTTCTTTTGTATATTTGTAATGTGTTATAAACAATAGCACGTGCTTTTGCACGTACTTATCTGCACTAGTGTTTTAAAGTATTTTCATAATTTTTTTAAAAAAAGTTATTATTTTGTTGTTAATTAATGAGAATGGTAGAGTAAACATTCTGGGTGCGTTTGGAATTGGTTCCAAAATGATTTTATTTTCTGTATGAAAATGTTTTCATTTTCATTTTGGAATTATTTTTGAAAATGTGTTTGGTAGTTTTATTCAGAGATTGATTTCAGTTTTAAAAAAAAAATTGAAACTGCGTTTGGTGGTTTAATTTTTAAAAACATATAATAATATTTAAAATAATAATATATTAAATAAATAATATTATTAAATATATTAAATAAATATATTAAATAAACATGATTATATATATACATCGTCGAGGACATCGTCGTCGCAGAGGCCGTCGTCGAGCTCCCGCTTTTTCCCCTCCCTCAAACCCAGACCAGATATTCCTATCCTCACTCTGCCACAGCTGCCGCCACCACCGCCGCAAGCCCAATGCTCTCCGGTGCTCGGTGTCGTCGTTCTCCGAGCGGCACTACATTGGCTCGCCGAAGTCAGATGACGTCGTCGAGCTCCCGCTTTTTCCCCTCCTTCTCATCCTCTTCCTCGGAGAGATCCTTCCATTGTAGATCTTCGAGTTCCGGTACCGGATGATGATGCATACTCTCCTCCAGACCGACCTTCGCTTCGGCGTCATCTACTCCGACGCTGTCTCTGGCACCGCTGACGTCGGCTGCGTCGGTGAGGTCGTCAAGCACGAGCGCCTCGTCGACGACCGCTTCTTCCTAATTTGCAAAGGCCAGGAGCAGGATCTGAATGCGTTCATATACGAGGTGGAGTCGTACATGAAAAGGGAGTGGGCTGAAGAGAGAAAAGGAAAACGATGAGAAAATGAAAACAAGTTTTTTGCGTTTTCAGATTTTCAGAAAACGACAAAAACGTTTTTATTTTTGTTTTGTAAAAACTTTTACACCAAACGCGTTTCTGATACACGTTTTCATTTTTTAGCCTCGAAAATCGTGAAAAATGAAAACGAAAACAGAAACAAACAGGGCCTTTATGTCCTAAAAATCAGTCTCAGAAAAGAGAGTTTTCAAAAGATGAAGGTACATTTTGATACTGTTGAAAATACAAGATATTAGAGAGATATTTTGCTATAACAAAAAGTATAAAAATGATTTTTTCACAACATATAAACTAAGCATTATTGTTTTAAAAGAGTGCAATTTAAAAGTAAATTGACTTTAAAAGTTTATTTTTACAACTTTCAAATATTAATAATTATGAAAAAAAGTAGATTTAAGATTAAAAAAGCATTATGTATTGAAGCACAAATTAAAATAACACATCTTAAATATTTTTTAGTATCAAATATACAATTGATATTAGTTTTATATCGGAAATAGTCTTACATCGCAGATGAAATAAGGTGGTTTGCATAATGGAATCCTCGAAACGATACTCATGGAAGGACCAAGCTTTTATTGCTAAAATTGTAATCTTTCAAATTCCAATATACTGGTGGTTTGATTCAATGTTTACTATTAATCAGCATCATATAGATGTATACACTTTAACATCACAACATTAGTCTGCTCCTAATGAAAACTTGAATCATGCTATATGGTTTGGAGTGATTTGAATGCGATTCGAACCTTATTTTAAATGGAGAGATCATATTTATTTTAAATTCAGTGTAACTTGAGAATCGATGTTCTCCTCTAGAGTAGAATAACATCATTTAAAAAATTTAGGGTTAATTCCACAAATAGTTCATGAAATTTATCCTCAATCTCATTTCAGTCCTTAACTTTTAAAAATGTACCACAGTTAGTCGTGAGATTTTATCCTCTTTAATTAATAGGCCAATAGTTTACATAAGTTAATAAATAGGTCAAATTACTGTTTTCGTCCATAACTTGTCTGGTTATGAACCATAACTTGACAAATTATTATTCATAACTTGTCTGACTATGAACCATAACTTGACAAGTTTGTCCATAACTTATCTGGTTATAAACCATAACTTGACAAGTTATGACCTATTAATTTCTATAACTAAAAATTAGCCTATATACTTTCTTGAATTTTTTATATTAGCCTATTTTCTACTATTTCCCATAAAAATGTTGCTTTAAATGGTAGATGATAAAGATGGTGACCCAGAATCAAATAGATGTATGATTAGCCAGAATCAAATAGAGTTTGGAAATCATTTTGGGCCTTTTGTTGCTTGGTCCAAGCAGAGTTGGTAACTAACGTCCTTGTCACTTGCAAGTTCTACAGAAGTTATCATTCTGCAATTCTTCAACAACCAAAAAAATAAATAAACAAACAAATAAATTCCTGTATTTCGGATTACTATCCCATAATCCAAACGAAGTTTGTTGTACTATGATATAAAACATGATTTTGAACTTGTCAACCAAAAAATTAGAAAGCTATATTTATTTCTTGGTAACTAGTATACTTTCAACCATCATGAATCAAGCATGCAGCAAAGTAAAAGTAAAATAATAAAGGAACTGTGGTAAACCAGATTACTAGAATAAAATGAAAGTCTTATTTTTAGCGCCATCAAAACAAGAAAGAGTTCAGTGCACCAAATGTTTAACAGAATTGTCAAAACAATCATCATCTATACTAGCCCTTTGATTAAGAGTGATATAACCATTCAGATCTCACCATCCCAAAGCTCCTCAAGAGTCCGATATGGACCATAAGTATCATGGACAATTGAGGTCCCTCTTACAAGTCTTGCCTGCAATTAGAAAAACAGTTTGCCTTTATTGATTAAATGAGAATAACCAGTCAATGAAAATTATCAATAATTGCTCATTTATCTAACATCCACTATCCCAATCCCCCAGTTAAAAACCAACCTAAGAATCGGACAATTTGCTAACGAAAAGTTACGGCTGTAAAGTTTTGTGTAGTGTGTTTCCTTTGAGTCAAATGGCAGCTATATATCAGCTTACTATGTGATAGTTTCGTCAGAGAAAAGGAAAAATAAGAAAGGATCAAGTAAATATTTACCTGCTCAATATCATGAAACTTGGCAAACAGGTCCTCCGGTATATGCCAACCAAAAACATCAAAGTTCTCTTTGATTCTTGATTCGTTTGTGCTCTTAGGAAGAACGCTATGACCCATTTGCAGGCCCCAACGAAGAGCAACTTGAGCAGGAGTTTTTCCTAATTTTTCTGCAACCATCTTGAGAATTGGATTCTGGAGGACGTCGCTTTTGATCCACGTAGTGCCAGGAGAACCCAATGGTGAATATCCCTGAAACAAATGTAGGGATATTATAGCGCATATGCAATTTCAACTTGAATGAATCCACAAAATGCCAACAACCACAAACGAAATGTAATTTTGCAGAGGCACACTCACAGAAAGGTGAACTCCCTTGGATTTGCAGAATGCGTGTAGCTTTGTCTGCTGCCAGGACGGATGACATTCAACTTGGTTAACAGCAGGAGGAATGCGCGCCACATCCAGCAAATCTCCTAGCTTCTTTGATGAAAAATTGCTCACACCAATTGCTCGAGCCTTACCCGAATCAAAGAGTGCTTCCATCTCTCTCCAAGTGCCAGGTATATCTGGTACAAGAAGGTTTTCGGGATGGAAGCCTACTGACTCCTTTTTCATCCGCACTGGCCAGTGGATCTTCAAATTTGAGCAACAACACTTGGTTAGTGTTGATAACTTCATCAATTAAATGTATGTTATTTCAAAAAGTTGACATTAGTTGTCAAGAATTTTGAAGAAAAGAGTTGGTAGCTAAAATGGGTAAGGTTTCTAAATCTCAAGGGAACAATGATCTGTCAGGAACTTTTGACTTCTTCAACAGATTCAAATACGGAAAAGAATGAGCCTTATTCTTTAAGGATCCTGATTTTAACCATTAATGCTTCCTGACCAGGATCAAGGCAGAAGTTTTTCTCATTCTACTTCTATATAAGGTGAACTCAATGCATGCTGTTATCTCACACTGCCTGAGACGGTACATGAATAAGCTTTGAAGGTAATACATACAAGGTATAAGTCAACGTAATCAAGCTGCAAGTCTCGCAAAGTACTGTCCAATGCCTCTTGTACATATTCCGGTGCAAAATCAGTAGACCTGTGGGCCATCTGGCATTTAGATATGTAAACCAAAGAGATCATATCTTTAAATGGCAGAAATAACAGGCAAAATCAATAATATCTTATTTGTTAGCTCATAGTTGAGTTAGTTCCAGGATTAAAAGAAGTTCTTAACTTTGGACTGCCGTGGCTATGAAATCCTCATTCACCTATCACGGTACTGCCTTTCTCATGTTGTGGTTTCAAAACATCAAACGTTACCGAAAAAAGAAAAAAAAAAGGAATCTTATTCCCTGGGGAGGAATGTATAGTCCCAAGTTCTGTGTTGCCATCGGGGCAGAGGCTTAAATGAAGTCAACGCTCTAATCAAGGAACATAACATAATGCTGTATCTGTGATAGCCTAAAGTAAGTTTCAACACACTATTGACAACTAACCACAGTTTAGACGTAATCCACAAATCCTCACGCTTGACCACACCATCTTCAAATAGCTTCTTCAAAGCAGAACCAATCTACAGAAAAGCAAAGAAAGATATACCTTCAAAACCCATGAAAACTCAAAAGATTTCAAATAGGAACAGAAAGAAACAACATAATATCAACCAAAGCACCAAGAATCGTGATATAGCTAGCACATATCTAAATTAAAATCATAAGAGAACTGGGTGTTTGCATAATAATTAGGTAAAAGAGGAACACGCTAAGACTAGTGCCTTGTTGCGTTTCTTGTTATTGACATGAAAATTCTAGTCTAATGACAATAAATGGGAAAAAAATATATGGAGAAAGCTTAATATTGGCTTTGCAAAAACAAACAGGTCTTGACTATATACCTAGAACCCCAAAACCATGATGGTAATATTTTCCAGCTAACAGGCTTGAATAAGATTACAGATGAAAATGTGTTACATAAGAAATGAGTACTTACCTTTCTTTTTTTTTCGGACTCGAGTACTTAGAAAGTTAGATACCTATAATTTCTTTTGGCCTACAAAATTCTATAACTATTTTCAACCCAAATTCCACAAATATATGGGTTCTTCGTATTGTCTATTCATTCTGATTTTATCATTCAGTGTTGCAAAAAACATCATCCCAAATCTTCCCTAGGATCATATTTTAAAGAAAAAAAGGGAGCTGCGTGTAAAGGTTGATAAAGAAACGAAAACATAAGCCAGCCAGAAGAGATATAAAGACTTAACACATAGAGGAATAGCCATTAAGGTAGTTTAAACTCCTGAGTTAATGCCTAATGAGAATGACACACTAGGGGCATAAGAAAATTGATTTAGCAAAACTTGGCGCGTTTACCTCTGCCTCGTTACGATAAAGTCGAGCACAATCAATATGGCGATATCCAATCTGCAGTCAGAAGAAAAGAAAGTTAGTTGCATATTACACTCGGACGAATCCAATTGCCAATAATCGGAGCCAAAGCGGTTGGTTTTCCCATACAAGAGGAAGAGTTCCACTGCTTACATAGACAAGAGCAAATTTTCATATCATCAGTGGAGAGAGAATAAAAGGAGTGTTTCTCTTTCGTCTTTTGCTTATTAAATTAGGAATGCAATTCTAATCCGTAATAGCCAAGCCTCCATTTGATTTGCAGTTTGAACCACAATTCAAACCTTATTAACCTATATTCTCTCACAAAAATTTGAATTTGTGTTCAACCCGATAAACCAAACATGCCATAAGTATAATTCCCTTCCCTTTCCGATTCCAAAGTGAATAGTTTTGCCTATAATCAATCAAAACCACAGATTCACTACAAGACAGAGAATACTGTTGTCATACTTTCATGTATTTCATTCCAGTTTTGGGGGCGACTAAGAAAAAAAAATCCAACTAAAGTTCAAATTCCAAATTCCAAATTCATTGAGCAATGTCTGAGTAATGATCACAAACATAATTATAGCCATTACAAAAAATGCTCAACATTCTTAGAATACAAACAAAGCTCTTAAACCAGAAACAAGGAAGGAAAAGACCTTAATGGCGGCAGTGACGGCGTCGGCGACCAACCCAGGGCTAGACTGCCATGTCCCTAACCCCACCGAAGGCATTTTGGCGCCAGTATTGAGCTCGAAATACAAAATATCGTCCGCCATTTTCAATCCTTCTCTTTCTCTTCCAGAAAATCGCTGAAAGCGAGGTCTCGATGCAGAGAAATCAAGGCAGCAAATAACAGAAACTATGGCTCCGTGCACTTTATAGAGATTTTGATAAGAGATTTGGAGTTCAAGGGACAGAATTTTGGAAAGTGAGAGAGTGCACTGGCCCGCCACTATTGGGCGGGAAAATACGTTATTGTCCTTTCCGGTATTTAGGGACTCGTGCCCTTTGAGCTTCTAAACCAATGACTTGTTGGTCAAATTACAAAAATTTTCGCTTGATCTTCTTGGCTGGTACTCGTCTCTTGTCCAATGATATAAAGGCCTCGTTGTGATTCGAGTTTTTAATTTCAGTTTCGATACAGTTAAAAACTCATATAAAAAGTTACATTGAGCTTTTTATTGTAACTAAAAAGTTAGATGTGATTATTTCTGAGAGTTTTTTACTGTAACAAAACTCGAATTCTAAACACGAATCAATAAATGAACGGGGTCTTAATTTTTTTTACTACAGTAAAAAATTCTCACATAAAATTATATTTTAATTCAAATTAAAAACTCAAATCTGTGAACTGAACGAGACAGGTCTACTCCAAACCATCTTAAGAAAATTGAAACACTGCACGCAATGTATATACCTTATTGATAACACTTTTTTTTTTTTTTAACAATTCAATTGAAAATCAATAGTCCCAGATTGCGCTCCTTTGTAAACAAGAATATACATAGCCACATTACATAACAATTTTTTTAATCTAATCAATAATTATAAAAAAAAAAAAAATGAAAGTTACTAGGAAAACATAAACACAACCACATTGGATAACAACCCTTTTTTTTTAATCTAATCAATAATTAGAAAAAATTAAAAGTACTAGGGGAAAAAAAAGAAAAGCCTTCGGTGAACCATCATCGCCACCCCTCCCTTCCTTGGCTCGTGACGAAATAGAAAACCTATCACTCCTCCAGCTGCATTTTTCTCCGTCGCGCAATCTCCTTCTCCTCAAATGTGAGCTAAAGGTCGTGAAATCACGACCTCTCTATCGGCTAGTCATAATAGAGGAGATAGAGCGACCCATGGATGGGTTGCGACCGTAGCGACCCACCGCCTCGGGACACACAACCGAGCCCCCTACCATAGACATGACATTTCCTTTAATGTTTAATTTTTTGGGTTTTTTTTTTTATTATGATTTTGATATAGTGCAATCCGGTGCACTTTTGTCTTTATGGTGTAACATTATCATGAGCGTTCTTTTCTTAAGAAAATGAAAATTTTTCCTCTTCTATTTTTAATTGAAGAGTGCTAAATACAAACTATGTTGCAATCAGCTCTGTTTTTAGTTGCCACTTGTCAACTTATTTTTATGAGACAAACTAAGATAAGAATAAGTCATCTTTCTGTAACTTAGTTACTGAATTGGCACCATCAAGAACGGGGCCTAATATTATTGTTCCTTTTGTAGCTTTTTTTTTTCTTTTTATTTTCATTTTTACTCTTTAATTTAAATTTAATCAATTCACATTTTTTTTAAACTTAAATCAATCCAATCTGCACATGCTGATTTGAAAAAACTCCATCCAATCTGATGAATAATAAACACATCAACCAATCCAATCCAATATCCCAACTTAATTCGTAAACACAAATCTCCAATTACCCAACGCTCAATTCCTTAAATTTAACAAGAAAATAAAATAAAATAAAATAACAGAGAAAAATTTATATAAGGTATTTGCAACAGTTTGCAAATTGATGGAATAAATTGTTCAAATTAAAAGTTTAACTAGCAAAGTTAAAACCTTTTAAGTTCAAGGGCAAATGTTCAAAATACTTAAGATTAATTTCATAAATATTCCTAAACTTTGTACGTTGTTTCAATATACTACATGAATACTTATTAAGTCGAGTTCAATTTTATTTAGGCCCGTTTGATATTAATTTTAGTTTTTGTAAGAAGCTATAGTAGATTCAGATATTTAGTAAGTCCTGCTTTTATCTAACAGCTTTTAAAAACTGTTGTCAAGCAGTAAAATTTGAAAAGCATATCATGAATTGCTTTTACACAATTACTTATGTTGTCATTCTCTAAATTTACTAAAAAAAAAATTTAATAATAAAACTTAATTCTCTATTTACCTATTTTATTTTCACACCAAATTAAATATTATTTAAAATTAAAATATTTTGTAAATATACTATGTTAAATTTTACTCAAATATTTTTTATAATTATCAAAATGTTTAAAATGACAACTATAAATAATAATTTAACAATTTATTTTTTAAAAAAATTTAAATAAAAAATTAAAATCATATATCATTTTAGTATTTGGTATAAAATTACTTCAAATATTGGCCTTAAAAATAGAAAAAAAACTTTCGTTAAGAAAAAAAAATAGAAATGAAACTAACTATAAATATGTTGTGCTAAATTATGTCTATTTTGATCATTCTATATATTCACAATAATTTTATACATAATTTACTAAAACACATAATTTTTTAAAAAAATACTTCTGATCACAATAACTTCTAACTAAAAACACAACAGCAACAAAATTTTTAACAGCACAACAACGCCAAACTGGCATTAAACAGTCAAGTTTAACTTGAGAAACATCACAAAAGAACCGGTCTTGTAAATATACAACTCTTTTTGCTTTTTTGGAGAACATCCTTGTTTATCATTTTCACGTTTCTTGGGAAGTGCCTATATACTTCCTTTGGCTGCCCGCAGCACTCATTATTCGTACTCAAATTTTCAATTCTAAATGCCTCAAAGTGGCAAATCCATCAACTTCATCTTCCCTCAGCTCCATCAATTTAATCCTTTTCTCGTCGGATTAATATAAACTGTAAAACACAACATTACTTAATAATTGATCATGCACATACATTAGATGGGATTGTATTCTAAAGATTACAGAAAACTTCCAACTGACAATTCAAAGCAAGACGTCTTTCAAATGTTATCCAATTTCTTCACACCAAATGAGCGCTACATTTCACCGCCGTAGCTCAGAGAAAAGATTAGTACCAAGACATCACAAATGCTATATAGAAATTTTTATTGACACAAAGTAAGGAGTTATTGGATACCAAAAGAGGAAAAAAAAAGATATATTAAACTCTATAATTGTACCTCGCAAGATAAAACAGCCGGTTGAGTTTGAAATTGGGTTGGCGACATTGATGGCTTTATTAGCATTTAGGTGGTTTTTGATGGTGTCTTTTTTAATAAAAGTAAAATGGATATGAAAAGAAAAGAGGGGGAAAAAAGGAAACTCAATATAAGAGAATGATATTCATTCAGAAAAAAAAAAAAAAAAATGGAACCAAAGAACCAACTAGAAAATTGCACCTTGCGAGTACAAACAACCTGCTCTTAAACTCAAGCCACATATCCCTGACTTTGAATGTAAAAGAACCAATATTAGCAGAAGAAAGCTCTTGGATTGCATTTTCAATCAGAGAGATAACAAAGAGATTTAAAATTAACAAAATCAACTGCTCTATTATTAACTTACCCCCGAATCCTCATATCTTCGTATTAGGCCTCTACATTAATCTTTGTAGTCTCGACTTCTTCTTCCACCATTTCCTTGACTGCTCTTATTAGCCCCCTTGTGATCCCATTTAGATGCAAACCCTTCTCATTCATTTCGTCTAGCAATTTCTCTGCAGTCTCCCAATCTAAAGCCTTGAGGCAAAGAGATTGGATCAACTTATTGTACTCGTCAACGTTAGGTTTCACCCCGTGATCTTCCATCTCAGCCAACAACTCCAAAGCCTTGTCAAACTCTTCGAGTTTGCAATACCCACGAATGAGTGTATGGTATGTCACGGGGCTCAGTTTGGAATGCTTCTTTTTGGCTTCCGCTAGAATCTTACGAGCCCCCTGCATCTGGCCTGCATTGGTGTAACCACTAATAATAACAGTGTAAGTGTAGACATCCGGCTTCAAGCCCCTACTCGTCATCATCTTCATTGTCTCAATTGCCTCTCCCATTTCCCCAGCCTTGGAAAATCCATGGATGACCGAGTTAAAGACAGCATTTCCCGGAGGTGGGCCATCCGTTGTCATCTTAAGAAGCAATTTCTTTGCCTCATTCACATCTTTTATCCTACACAAGCCTTGAATCACAGTTGAAAATGGCTTGATAGCATACTTACGCGCTTCTCCCTCAAAATCACCCAACATCTCTAGCGCCAATCTCACTGTGCCATCCTCCCGGCAGAGGGAACTTATCAAGAAGTTAACCGCGCACTGAGGAACCGTACACTCCTTCTCCTTCGCCAACATATAAACCAAATGGGCATCTTTAGCCCTTTTCGCCTTGCAAAACCACGAGATGATCCTACCGACTTTACCACCATCCTCGGGCACTTTCTCCATGTCAATCATCTTCTCGAAAACCGAGAAAGCCCAATCCAACATTGGGCGCCTGCAAAGTGCCTCAATCGTGAAGTAATACGTATCCGCATTTGGCTCAACCATAAAGTCCCCAAACTTTTCAAAAACCTCCATAGCAGGCTTCCCTTTACCCAACTTAGAAAACGAAGCAATAAGCCCATTGAGAATCTCAGTGTTCAGCACATCAATTTCATCCTCACCAATCTCCTTCACCAAATCCCACAACCAATAGGCCAGTTTCCTCTTAGGACTACTATCACATACAGCCCTAACTAGTGACTCCAAAACACCAGGATTTAGTCTAATCTCTGGTTTTTTCTTCAAAGCCCATGCGAAGAAAGTAATCAAATTCTCAGTCACGAGCTGTGGGGTTTGAAGAACTCTTACCATGAACTCCTCGTGAAGACTCAAATCCATGGCGTCGAATCTGGACTCCAGAGAAGAAGACGACCCATCTTCCGAAGTTCTGGTCTGAAGAAGAGACAACAATTCCTCCACCTTCCCGGCATCGTTTTCTTCATCCTCGGCAACGAAATTCTCCAACTGGGCAGTTTCGATCTGGGAAGCACCGCCATTTTCGCCGAACAAGGAAGGTTCTGGAAGCCGCTCCACGTCCGAAGAATCGGAGTTGTCACTAAGGTTGTTGGTCGGAGTTTGGGAGAGGAATCGAGGGGTAAAGGCTCGCGCTTTGGGGTGAAAAATGTTGGAGTTTTTCTGAGGCGTTCCGAAGAGAAGCTTGCGAGCTGATGATGAGTGTGTTCTCAAGAGATGAGAGGCTCGTGCCGCCATAACCGACCTCCACATTGTGTTGGAAGACAAGACAAGGCGGAAATGCAAGTGACGTGGGTTTTAGGGTTCAGGGGTTCGGTTCTGTTTCTGCATACCATTTGATTTACCAGGGTGATTAGCGCAATCGGTCCCTGGTCTTTTAAGTTTCTGGTAAATTGGTCCTCAAATCTTTTATTTTTGATAAATCAGTCCCTGATCTTTTATTGGTCCAATTAATAAAGGGTGTCAAAAATTAACTGCAATAGAGGACTTAAGAAATGATTGTTTGCTACTATGGCATGATGTGCAGGAGGGTTACTGTGTGTACAGATGCTAATTCTTCTTTCAATATGTCGATTTCACATGAAATCTTCCAGATAATTTCCCCACAATTGTATTTTATGAACTAATTTTTCACCTGAAATCCTTTTTATTTTCTCTCTAGCCGATCAATCGCAACTTCGGAGCCCGTCATCAATTGGATCGAAAATTCGCCAGTAAGTTAAAAGATCACATATTTTTAATTTGTCAAAATTAAAAGATTGAGGATCAATTTACCAAAAACTTAAGGATCAGGGGCTAGTTGTATTAATTACAAAAAAAAAGGTTAACATTGAAAAAGATAAACAAGAACAAGAACAAAAATACAAACACATTAAAAAAAAAAAAAGAAAAAGAAAAACATCATTTGGTACTCATAGTTTAGCACTTTATCAAATTAGTATCATCTGTTAAATGTTTGAGAAATCTCATTTCAGAACCATATTATTTAAGCAAAATAATAATAATAGTAATAATAATAATAATAATAATAATAATAATAATACATAAATACAGAATATATAATAAATAAACTGATATTATTTCATTAGTTTAAACTGATATTATTTCATTAGTTCTGATATCACCCATGATTAAAAAGGACAAATGAAGCAAAAGCCTGGAGCTTATTACAACCCATTCTGTTTCTGCTCACACCTCGCCATCCCAGAGATCTTCAAGAGTCCTGTACACGCCTAGAGTCTCGTGTACAAAATCTTTTCCTTTAACCATTTTTTCCTGCAGTCCAGAAGGAGAAAAAAATATATATCCAAAAGAAAACTCCACTTAAGATGAAAATAGTCCCAAGACTGTTTGATAGGAAATTTCCACAGTAGGGTGTGAAAAAAAAAAAAAAAAAAAAAAAAACTTGTAGTAATTTCCTCCAAATCGTTTGAATTTAATGCGAATAAGCCACACACACACACTTTTTTTTTTCTTTTTTTCTTTTTTTATAAATTTGTTACATGATATCAGTAGCCAAAAAAAAAAAAAAATTTGTGTGATACAATCTAATGTTTAAAAGCGTGCACTAATACAATCTAATGTTTAGAAACGCACATTAATAGTAAGTATTCCCTATCATAGAAACTCCTACCTTAATGATAGATATGGCTTTATGGACCAAGTCCAAGAGAAAGTACTCACCTGCTCAATTTCAGAAAGCCTAGGAAGCAAGTTTTCCGGTATGGACCAATAAAAAACGTCAATGTTTTCCTTGAGTCTAGCCTCATTTGCACTCTTAGGCAGTATGCTGTGACCCATTTGCAGGCCCCAACGAAGAGCCACTTGTGCAGGAGTCTTTCCAAGTTCCTCCGCTATCGAAGCAACATTTGGATGCTTAAAAACTAGAGTCCTGGTCAACGGCGAATACGCCTGCAAATAACATGTTTATCCCACATAGTAAATTAAATAGTATCCATTTTGTTTCCAGACAACACTATAATTCGATGGCTGTGTTTTGCCCATAGCTAAATTAAGTCAGTTTATAGTCATGACACTCACAGATAGGTGAACACCCTTTGATTTACAGAACGCATGTAGCTTTGGCTGCTGCCATGTAAGATGGCATTCCACTTGATTAACAGCCGGAGGAACTCGAGCCACTTCCAACAAGTCCCCGAGCTTCTTGGAAGAGAAATTACTAACTCCGATTGCCCGAGCCTTTCCGCAGTCATAGAGTGCCTCCATTGCTTTCCAAGTACTTGGAATGTTAGGTTGTGTAAGGTTTTCGGGTCTAAAGCTACCAGACCATTTTCTTATGCTGACCGGCCAGTGGATCTAAACAAATTACATTTACATGACATCCATTAGCAAAGCACCAATTAGCAATAATAACCCATTACACCATCAGTCCTTATAATGGACTAAACTTAATCAATTTTGCTCCAAACAAATAATTCTACATTCCAATTCAATTTCGTTAGCATATCAATAAACTAAAGCACAAGACATAAATTCATATGCTGGCAAAATGAGAAGCAGGACAAGCTCAAATGTGGTTTACCAAATATAGATCCACATAATCAAGTTGCAAGTCTTGTAATGTTTTATCAAGCGCCTTTGGTACATCTTCCGGTTCATGATCAGTACACCTGCACACCACCTTATAGATTCAGCCAACATTTGAACTCTACATTAAGATCTAAAATCCAAACTCAAAATTCCAAAGTTTCACAGAAAACTCGCATTTTTTTTTTTTAATTCAAACAAACCAGAGCTTTGAGGTGATCCACAACTCCTCACGTTTCACCACACCATCATCAAACAGCTTCTTCAAAGCTGATCCAATCTATAATCAGAAAAGAATAATATTTCAAGATCACAACTCCCATAATGAGAGCGGGGTAAAATACATTACGCCTAATCCAACAAATGGTCCTAAAACTTTATCCTCAAACCTGCTTTTGGCTCTGGCTTTTAAAAGGGCCCAAACTCGACAACAATGTATCAGTTTTTTTTTAGTTATAGACCATTTTGGAAGTTAAGAAGAGGAATATGCATGTGATGCAGACAGAAAATAACACTATGCTAACGGAATACAAAAAATGCTCGTAATGTTGACGGAAAATAATACTCTGCTAATGGAACATCATCTATTACGTCCTCTTTTTAACGTCAATTGACGCAAAAGCTAAAACTGAAACAAATCGATGCATTGGGGTTAAATGTGGGATGTTTTAAAACTCAAAACGGAGTGAGATTGAGTTTGAGTTCGGACAATTATTATGAGATTAACCCAAAACACTATTATATTACTGTTTTCTAATAATACAGTACAAATGTGTTCAAATTAAGATTCAAGACACTTCCTTTTGGTTCACAAGTTTAAACTCAAGTTTGACACACAAAAAAAACAAAAAAACAAAAAAACAAAAAATAAACAAAAAAATAAACTCAAAATTTTTTAGGGAAAATACTGTAGTAAAGGTTCTGATTTGTGGTGCAAACTGCGAACTAAACGGCACCTGATTTCGAAAGGCGAATTGAATGGGCCTAAATTTTTTGTTAAATAAAAAATAATTACCTCCTTTTCATTGCCATACATTTGAGCACAATCAATATGGCGATATCCCAACTGCACAAGCATGAATTAACGGTTAAGCTTCACCCACTATTTCAAGTCAACTAAATCAATCACAGATTCTAACGAAGCTTTAAAAAAAAAATAAAAAATAAAAACTAGACCAAAAAAAAAAGAAGAAAAAACCTTGATGGCGGCGCTAATGGTGGAGTCGATGAGAGAAGATTCGGCGGCATATGTTCCCAAACCGACGGACGGAATTTTGGCGCCGGTGTTCAACTCAAAGAACCGAATATCTCCCATTTTTAGCTCCAACTGATCAAGTCTTTGTACACGAAATTCCTGGTCAAACGCTTTCTTCAGCAAAAAAATGATCGCACAGGAGAAAAATGTTGGGAGCAAAGACGAAACAATTGGGTGTTTCGCCAAGTCTTCTATATAAACAAAGAGTAAAGTCTGTTCCCTCCTTGTTTCTGAGATCAAATTATACTCACATGTTTCGGTTTTGCTTGGGTGCAGTTTAGTTTACTTTTATTTATTTTATTATTTTTTAAGAATTAGGATGCATCGAAATTTTGTCCTTGGTTTTAACAGCTTGCTCTAAACTTCTAATTAGGATGCATCGAAATTTTTGGACAAATGACACGTTTTTCTTCTAAATTATACTCATCACAAAAGGCGCGTTTGAAACTCATTCTAAAATAATTTTATTTTTTATATAAAAATAAAAATTAAAACGTTTTCAATCTTAGACATAAATTATTTTTAAAAATGCGTTTGATAGTTTTATCAAGATATTATTTTCAGTATAAAAAACTCATTAATGTTTCTCTTTCTCTCTCTATACTCGAGAGAAGAGAAAACGAAAATAAAAAATGAAAAAATGACTAAAAGTCATTTCTCTCATTTTACACTAAATTAAAAAATCATTTTTCATTTCTATTTTTTATCTTTATTGTGTTAAACATCGTTTTAAAAACGTTTTCATTTTTTCTTTCTCAAAAAACGTAAAAAATAAAAACCAGATTAATACTCACATGTTTCGGTTTTGCTTGGGTGCAGTTTAGTTTACTTTTATTTATTTTATTATTTTCTAAGAATTAGGATGCATCGAAATTTTGTCCTTGGTTTTAACAACTTGCTCTAAACTTCTAATTAGGATGCATCGAAATTTTTGGACAAATGACACATTTTTCTTCTAAATTATATATCTCATCACAAAATGTTTTCTGAATTTTGATTTTAAATTTTCTCTCATAAACTTCAAAAACTCTTATAAATTTTCTCCCGCAATTAAATTTTTAATAAAAAAATGTCTTATAAAATGCAAAAATTAACAAAAAAAAAAACTTCTTACGTTAAAATATATTAATTTAGTTATTATAACAATGATATTTTTAATTATTTTTACAAAAGTAAGCGTTTGACTTTTCCTCGTATTGCACTATCTTTTTTTGTCATTTAAGACTAATTTAAGTAATTGGGTGCAAAAGTATATGCATGTGTTAATTAGGATTCAAACCTGAGTGGTTTCATAAGTGGGTCTATTTTAAAAAATTATTTTAAAATTAAAATTTAGTTGTACATTTTTATACATTAGAATATAAATGAAACAAAATATGAAACAAGTTATTGTCTGATATATTTAATATTGAATATGATATTATCATAAAAGTTATTGACGGATACGTTATTTTCTTTTCACCGCTAGGGTTTCTTCTTCTCCTCCTTTGATATTCTCATAATTGCCTTGTAGTAGGTTTTTAAAGGCCAGAGTCTGGTGCCTCCCTTGGGCGGTGCTATGGACTCATGACCCCAAGAAAGGGTGCCTGGATGTCATGGACTAGATCTCCCCGGTGAGACTTTGACGGTGTTATAGCTTAGGTAGGAGTTACGTGTGTCGATGAGGTTTTTACCGGATTACTTTTGGCTACCATTGTTGGACGCGGCCAAACGCTAGTGATTCTGAGCCCTCTATGGCTTGGTCTACTCCACACGGTGATTCTTTGAAGGGGTTTGTATGCAAGTTGGTAGTCGAAGATGGTGAAGGGGATTTGTATGTGAGTTGGTAGTAGTAGGTTTTTAAGGGCCGGAGTTCGGCACCGCCTTTAGGCAATTCTCTAGACTCATGGCCCTAAGAGAAGGTGCCTGAAAGCCGTGGACTGGATCTCCCCGGTGAGACTTTGACGGTGTCATAGCTTAAGTATGAGTTACTTGTGTCGATGAGGTTTTTACTGGATTGCTTTTGGCTATCATCGTTGGACATGGCCAAGCGCCAACGAATATGAGCCCTCTGTGGATTGGTCTACTCCACATGGTGATTCCTTGAAGGGGGTTTGTATGCGAGCTGGTAGTTAGAAATGGCGGAAGGAGAATGGCTGTTGTGTTTTTCCTTATGGGCCGTGGGCGTGTTTCTTTGTTTGCGGTGGAGGCTCAGATCTTTATCGGTGATTCTTCAGCTTTTTTTTCACGTTACAACACCCTCGTTCATCCTTAGTCTCCGTTTGGTAAGACAAATGGAGAGGAGGCGGGACGAAGATAGTTGGAGGGATGAAGAGGATTATAGTAATTCTTTTTATTGTTTAGTAGGGGGAGAAGAAGTTAAAAGGATGGATGAATGAATGATTTTTAATTACTTTTTTTTTGTCATTTTTACCAATTTCATACTAACTTTTGAAGGATAAAATAGTCTTTTTCAATCTCTAATGAGTAGATTGTATGGATCATTCCATTAGAAGAGGAATGCAAAAATGTGGGCCCAGATGGAGAGAGTCTCCTTCCACCTCTCCTCCCCCTCCAACCAAACAAGATTTTTTTGGCTTTCCCTCCACCCCTTTCCCTCCTACTAAGCATACCCTTGTAGGTTTCCGAATTGAATTCGGGTGCAAAAGCGTGGAAACTTGGATCAGGTCCAAACAAAATTTTCATAAAATGTTTGTGAATGCAATAGAATATATTAATTTACGACGAGTAAATTAATCTAATTAGTTTAGTATAAGAATTATACCTTGTAACCAATTAGGCGGATAACTTGAGGTTTTTGACCGTGATAACTTGAGGTTTTTGACCATGAACAATCCAAGCGATCTCGTTCCTCAGACTATCAAAAGGCTTCCTTGTCAATTCTTGTATTCTAATAAGACTGTGTGTGGGCACACCTGAACACACAATAAACGTTATCACTCATCTCTCTAATCTTTCACAAACATCAACACATGTATGTGTGGAACTGAGAATGGAGAACTTTACTCCTGATTTTTCTCTCTCTAAAATTCAGCCAATACAAGGGAAGGAGACATAAGAAAAAATTTCCTGAATAATTAGAGATAGTTTCCCGTTTGAATTTTACAATATTTTCTCTTTCCTTTTCCTTGTTAAATTCGGCCACCATAGTGTCCAATATTGTGTGTGTGGCGCCTATAGTAAATAAGGAAGGAGAAGATTTCTCCTTTATTCAATTTTCAATTTTGGCTCAAATTTAAATTTTAATTAAAGTCAAACTTTCCTTAAATTTGAATTCCAATTGGACAACTTGTCAAACAAGTAAAAAGATAACTTAGAGAGCAAATAATTAAATCTTCTTAAGATGCAACTAGTGCCACACGCCCCCTACACCCAATGACTGTGCGTGTGGCCTATGTGGTCCCAGTGTTTTTTAAAAATTAAATTAAATAATCACATTATTTAATATATATAATTAATTCTTAATTAATTATTTATGAGTGACATAATTTAGAATTTCATAATTCTAAATAAACTGTTTTACCTTTAGTGTCTTGTGGAATTAACAGGACGATGCGAGAACTCATGGTCCCATAATATTAAGTTCTAATAAAATAAATAAATAATTAAACTATTTAATTAATTAATTAATTAATTCTATTAATTTCAAAAGTTATCCCACTATAAATTTAGAATTTCACTCTTGATATTATAGACAATTAATTATATATGTGAAATGTCCATTTGATATAGTAACTTTATATATATCGATCCTCTATAAATAATTCATAATTAGAGTTAGGTGAAATCCATTAATTACATATTTATCCTTGAGTAATATTGATTGTTTAATGGATAATGATTCATAAACACATTCATGAATCAGAGCTCCTACTAATCCAAGTACCGAATCAATCATCAAGGGAATTATTTATCTACTTATTTCTCACAAGAATGAATAGATTCCATCTCGTAATATTAGCAATCCCGGCTACCTATTTCTCCATGTCTCCAAGATACAAGGATAAGATCTAAGTGTGTCGAGATCTTTACCGAGTAAGTCAAAAGACACAAATCTATAAATAGGAGTATGTTAATAACTCAGTATTAATTTCATTATATATATGACTATCAGTAGACTTAATAAGAGTTTCTATACTTAACAGAAATTATTATAAATTCATATTGTATATGTGTCCTAGTCCTACATAATCTCATTATGTAAAATACACTCACTTCGATATCTCGACATATCAACGATCAGATAAGATTGTTCCATTCAGAATGAAAATGACATGTATTAATAATGTAATCAATTAAAGATTTCAAACTTTAATTGATAACCATTATGAACTTTATGTTTCGATTCTTATCCTTAAATACTATTCTCTAGTATATAACACTTATATATACCATATTTAAGGTCACATAAATAATCGTGAAATTTTCAATGATATTCATAAAGTATTCAATAATACATGCACATAAATAATGAAACTTCTACTTTATTAATTAAATAATAAAATCTTTAATTACATCTCATGCTTTCAAGACACTATTCCCAACAACCCTTAGTGGTGTTCGGCGTGTCATCATAAATCCGTTTGGTGTGTCGTCCGGGTTTTTCTTGCTTGTTTTAATTTATGTGTCTGTCAAATAAAGGCGTTAGTGTTTCTTTCGTTTAGTGGTAGGGTGTTTACGTTGACGTGTTTATCTTTTCTTGTAATAACATGGGTGATCTCCTAACTTTCTGGTGTTTTCGTTATGTTTCCTCCGCAAGTCATGTATCTTTGTAGTGTTATGGTAGGCTTTTATGCTTTTGGTCCCTCGATATCGATCGATCGGAGTTATCCACCGTGGTGTGTCTCAAATAGCCAATTTTGTACTTGATTTGTTATGTGCCTCTTTAGTTTGCTCTTGTTGGAAGTCAATACATGTGTTACCCCCCTGATAATTTCAATTGTACCTCTGTGGTCAGGGTTGAGTCACAATGCGTTTGAGTCTTTCGCTTTTGGATTAGTGGTTATATTTTTCTATTTAAGGCCTGTTTGGCATTGCTTTTAGAGGTTGCTTTTATTTTTTTTTAGAAGCTACAACAAGTCAAGGTGTTTGGAAAATCCTATTTTTATCTAGCAACTTCTAAAAATTGCTATCAAACAACAGAACTTGAGAATAATGTTAGATGTTACTTTTACATAGCTCTTTCTGCTGCCAATGTTTAAATTTATTAAAATAACTTTAATAATAAAACTTAATTTTCTATCTTTCCATTTTATTTAGATATTTATTTAAAATTGAAGATCTTTAATAAGTATACTATGCTGAATATTACTCAAATATTTTAAATAATTATCAAAATATTTAAAAACAACACTAATAAATAAGAAATTTAGTAATTTATTTTTTTGAAGTACTTTAAATAATAAATTAAAATAATACATTTTTATAGTATTTTTGTGTAAAATTATTATGAATATTGAGCTTAAAAATATAAATGAAATTAACTGAAAATTTATGTGATAAAGTATATCAAATTTGGTCATTATACATCTTCACAATAATTTTATACATAGTTTATTTAACATTTAAATTTCTACTTTTAGTATTCACAACAGTTTTGAAAAAAATTTACAAAACACCTACATGCTTCTAATCACAACAAACTTCTAACTAACAACACAATAACATTAAATTTTTTTTAACAATATAACAAAGTCAAACTACCCTTAATTTAATTACATTTCTCATTTTCAAAAAAAAAAAAAAATGAACATTAACATTTGCATTTATGATGTTGTTATAAAGACTTGAAGCCTGTTTAGTTCACTAATTTGAGTTTTTAATTCGAGTTTATATGTGATTTTATATGAGAGTTTTTTTTACTATAGTAAAAAAATTAGGTGCTACTGTTTTTAAGAGCTTTTTACTGTAACAAAATTCGAATCGGTGAAATGAACGAGACCTAAATTTATCCATTTATTTAGGCCATGTTCATTTCACCGATTTGAGTTTTTTTACAGTAAAAAACTATTAGAAATAATCACATCTAATTTTTTTATTACAATAAAAAACTCTCATATAAAATCACATCTAAACTCGAGTTATCAAATTAAACCGCGTATTTACGTGACAGCATTTATGTACCAATTAATTACACCATTGCCATCCGAATTCCGAAGCCAACAATAAAAGTCATATAATATAATCATTCTATATTCTTCTCTCTCTGGCTCTCTTTTTTTTTTTTTTTTTTTAAATGTTTAAGAATAAGATGAGAGAAGACCAAAGAAAGGCGATTTTTCTTCATAATTGAAAATTTTCCCAGTTCCCGAGGATTTGGTTAATTTCATCACACTCCGAATCTTCAACTCAATCGCATTTCGAAGCCGAATATCTTCCTCAACAATCGCACCTCTTTGGAATTCCAGGCAAAAAAATGGTGTAGATTGGATTGGAAAAGGCTTGTTTCAATGGGAGAGTATTGAAATCTAGGGTTCGTTTTTGGTACCCTTTGTTTCAGCAAAGTACCCTCTATTCAATTATTTTTTGCTACGTTTTCTTTTCAATTCAATTTTTGAGTTCCTGAGCTTGAGAAGAAGAAGAAGAAGAAGATAAAAGAGGAAAATGAAACAGTTGGTGGGGAGACCAGGATCGGGAAGTGGGTTGGTACTGCGATTAGGGCAAGCTTCTTGTGCTGCCGCTTCGATTGGGCTTATGGTCTCTGCCAGTGGCTTCGCTACTTTCACTGCTTTTTGGTATTTTCCTCTTTTTTTTTTTTTTTTTTCCCCCTGTTCTTTTCAATTCTTTGGAATCTCTATTGGTTTTTGTTCTATCTTGTCACTAAATATATACATATATATATATATATATATATATATATATTGAGGGAAAGCATAATCAGTTGCCTACGATATGTTACATTGTTTTATGATTGGTTGAAATTAGTTAATGGTATTATTCTGGACTAAAACACTACTTTGTTCTAGTATATAATGCAATGTGGGAAGCTGAGACAATCCTAGATATGGTTAGGAATTCACATTTCTTGTTTTGATAGAAGTCTGTATTTAATTCTTTGTTGGAAATTAAGATTCCTTGTTTTAATAGAGATGTGATACACATTTTCGTATTTAGTCTGTTATTGATTGAGAATCTGAGATACTGTTTATATTATTAGATGCTATCATGTATGTTTGGAATGATGTTTTGAGGAGACAAGAGTGAAATAAACCCATTTTGAGACAAATTTATGCTTTGAAACGAACAACGCCATTTTGAGAACCAAAGAAAACCCGGATACTGTTTCCTGTTCTTGGAAGTCAATATTATGCTTTGGGACCTCTTATTTTTGAGAGTTGAAATTTTCAGAACCCAGTTCTGATTTTATGCCAAATAAGTAAAAGCTAGTTATTGAAGTGGTAGAAATATTTTATGGTTGAAAATCTATTTGGGATTGGCATATTTTTGGGTATATATTAATGGAAAAGAAGATTATTCAGAGCAGTTATACTACATTGCAATAAAGCAATTGTCATTCTGAACTCACTTCTAGAATTGTTTCATCCAATGGGGTGCGTAACTTAGGCAGTGTTAATGAGGTCTTTATGATACATATAGCTGTAGAACTTCATGCGGGTATTCAAGCCCCTTCTATCATCAACTTGCGCGCTTTAGCATTCACGAATACTTGAAGAATTAGAAAAAAAAAAAAAAAGAAGAGAAGAAGTCGTTGTCTTTGCGCAGCATATCAATAGACAATAATCAGAGTTAGAATGATGGTGGCCTACTACTTAGGCTTCGTTCGCTTTGTGAATTCGAGTTTTCAATTCGAGCTTAGATGCGACATTTTCTGAGAGCTTTTAACTGTAGAAACCTATAATTGAAAACTCGAATCGGTAAAATGAACGAGGCATAAATATTTGTTTTACAGACATGTTCAGCTGCGTTGAAGTAAATTTTGCATTTGCAACTTTCATATCCATCTGATGATGTTTGCGTTGCGCTCCTGGGAGTAATGGTTTAAATAGCTCATAAATATTGACGAGTTATAATTCATGTGCTGAATTCTTTACCTTTTTTTTTTCCAGCTATTTGATCGCATCAATGGGACTTCAAGTGCTTTGGAGCTTTGGACTTGCATGTCTTGATATTTATGGTTTAAGGAGAAAGAGGGACCTCCAAAATCCAATCCTAGTGAGCTTGTTCGTTGTTGGAGATTGGGTAATTTATTTATTTCTTAAATATAATAGCTCTCCCCCCTCCCTGGCTAAAACCATGAACAAAACCTTTTTCTATTTTGTGTTCATTAATTTTGTGGAAATTTTTATGTTTCAGATGTGGTGTAGCGTCCATTTCTGTATTTTCTTTTGCCCGTCTCGTTTATGGATATAACATGAAAAATCACTCTTAAAAATCTTTTTTTTCCCTGTTGATTGGACCATGATATTCGTATGGCTTTGCTGTTGTAACTAAAGGGATGACTCTAAAGAAACAATTCGACCATTAGTTTGTCAGTTTGGATTCAAATGTCGGATATTACAACTAAAGGGATGACTCTAAAGAAACAATTCGACCATTAGTTTGTCAGTTTGGATTCAAATGTCGGATATTCAAACATTACTGTTTGTTCTCCCACCCTTTTGCATTCTAGTTTCCCCAGGCCAATTATTATAGTGTTAACTTGCATCATCGATGCCCTGCTCGCTTCTGTTGTTGAACATTGGCTCTGGATTGATTTATGTTTACCTGCTTTATGCTTTGGGAGCGCAGTCAAAGGGAACAATTTGGCTTCTATAAATGGTGCAGGTGACAGCTACTCTATCACTAGCAGCTGCAAGCTCCTCAGCCGGGATCGTTATTCTGTATGCAAGAGACATGGATTTCTGCTCGCCTCAATTTCATCTCCCATGCGGTAAATTTCAAATTTCCGTAGCCTTGGCTTTTCTCACATGGGCTCTTATTGCCCTGTCGTCTCATGTTATGTTTTGGATCTTGTTAACCTCAGCTTAGAGACTATTCACAGCCTCATTATCAGGACTCACACTACGGTATTCATTGATTTTCTTTTGTAAATGGTATTGTTTTATAGCGAGAAATTTACTCGTTTTTGGCGGCGCGGCTCCATTTATTCGTGATGGTTTCATCCTTGGTCTATTTATAAGCTTATTATTTGTTTTAAGCTAATGACAAAAGGAGAGGGTAAGTCTTAAAGAATATGAGAATTCTATAGTTGAAACGATTTCATGACTCGGCCATATTTGTTGAAGCTGTGTGTTTGAAGTCCTCGCTTGAACAGATCTACAGCCATCTTAAAGTGAAAGTCTTCTTTCTCTCTCTTTCTCTTGGAGAAATAAATGAAATTGTTATTTACTCCGCAATATCAAATATCGCTAACTTTGAACGTTAGCATGAAATAAAAACAAAAAAACAAAAAAAGTCCACAAGCACACAAACAGAATTTGGCCCGTTTCTACTAACGCCGCAAATCTCCTTTCAAAGGCAAAATCCAAAGCTGGAACTTCTTAAAAATGGTCAATGCAGAGACCAAACGGTGATGTCAGATGCTACTGATATCACATACCAAACGTCAACCACTGAGAAGTATGTACTATGAAGGAAAGCATTTTTCTTAGCAAGTAACCATATATTTTAGGATTAATTACAAAAATTCTCTTTGAATTATATCCGTGTTAACACTTTGCCTCTTAATTTTTAAAATATAATATTTGTTCTCTTGGAACAATGAAATGTGCTAGTTTTTTTGAACATAAATTGATATTTAATTTATTATTTTAGGGTATTTTAATAGATCTATAGTTTAAAATTTAATTTGAATTATAAATTAATTTATACTTAAATTTTTAATTATGATACATCCATTAATGATTGAATGTAAATTACAAATTTTAGGAAATATTTTTTAGTAGAATAAACTTTTAATTATGATACATCCATTAATGATTGATTGAATGTAAATTACAAATTTTAGGAAATATTTTTTAGTAGAATAAAAAAAATTTATGATGTTTTTTTTAAAATTTAATTTAGTTCAATTTCAAATTAAATTTTAAAATATAGAATGTCAAAATACCTTCAAAATGGTAAATTAAATGTTAATTACAATTAAAAACTTAATGGAGAGGGTTTTTTTTTTTTTTTGTTAATATAGTTTATTGTTCAAGAGAAACAGATGTTAGTGTTGAAGATCAAAGTGTAAAATGTTACAAATGGTATAATTGAGGGGCAATTTTTGCAATTAACCCTATATTTTTAATGCCATTGAAGATTCAAAAAGTATGTCTTGGGAATTTCAGCACGAAACAGATGTACAACAGTGTTCCATTAATAATTGATACAATCCAGTAAATGGAATAAAAAGACAGCCATGTCAATAACTTATCAGATTAATTCCCCCACAAACATTATTGCCGTCAGACAACAAAACCTGTTGACAAATTGCTACATGAATTGTTCTAGTTAAACTGGATCATGTTCATACACTTGAAGAGAAAAGATCGTTGGTATATCAACATTTAGATTCATGTACCAAATTTCAGCATGATCATCACATGACAATCTCGGGCTTCAAAATGCTTGATTTGATCTCCTTGTGGGGGAGGACAACACCCCCATTGCTATAAACTTCATCGCCTATATGAACATCTTCTCCTAAGATTGTCATGTTCTCTATCCGAGCCCACCTGCCAACAGTCGAATGCCAACCGATGATACCGCGAGAGATGCAAGCGTGCTTCTTGATTCGAACCCCACGCATCACAGTGCAGTGTGAGAGCCTGACACCTTGCTCAATCTCACATCCAGGACCGATGGCTACATCCGGGCCAATTAGACATCCATCTCCAATCACAGCGCTTTCATCAACCAGTACATTCCCTATAATGTGGGAGCCTGACGCTAATTTAGATGAGGACTTTTTCCGCAAGGAGTCTAGGTAGAGTCTCAGACCTGTAATATAGTCCTTTGGCTGTCCAATGTCCATCCAAAACCCAGGTAGAACCATAGCATACAGCTTGTTCTCCGCCGCAATCTTGGGGAATACCTCTTTCTCGATTGAGGTCGGCTTCAGTTCAATCCGATCAAGTACGGATGGGTTTAACAAATAGATTCCAGCATTAATCTTGTTACCCACAAATATCTTTGGCTTCTCTACAAACTTTTCAACTTTCCCTGTAGTTTCATCCATAACTACGACACCGTATTTCGATGGTTCATCTACCTAAAATGAAAATGATTGCTTTTTCTTCAGTACGAGAAAAACACGCATTATATCTCTTGACATTGACAGTAGGTTAAACGTAAAAGATTGATCTAAAGTACCTTTGTTACCATAATGGAAGCTTCCCCTACGTGACTCTTATGGAACTCAATCATTTCTTTTAGTGGGTACTCACTAATTACATCACTATTGAGGACAAAGAAGGGCTCACCAGAGTCATCTATCAACTTATCTCTTGCTAGAGCCAAGGGGCCTGCGGTACCAAGTGGTTCGGTCTCTTGTGAGCAGGTGATCTTGATTTCAAGCTTTTTCTCAAACTCTTTTAAGAAGTTCAGCATAACCTGAAAAAAAAAAAAAAAATACAGTGGATTTGTTCATCAAAGAACTCACAATGTTTAGCTGCAAAAACAAAACCGGCATAAACTTTGCAGTAAAGGGGTGGTTCCTATTCTACCTCCGGTTGGTAATTGATGGCCAGAACCACTTCAGTCACTCCAATAGCTTTGAAAGCCTCAATCTGGTTAACAAAATACACATTTTCTTTGAGACTGATAAAGCTAAGAAAGTACCAAATTCACAGGCATTAAATTCAATTACAGAATGAAAGTTCACAAAACAAAAAAGGGTGTGCCTTTCAAACTATTCCCATGTCTCAACTTCATGTATTCAACAAGTCCATTATTACATATACAATTTCCTTCAAGAAAACATACGTTTTGAACAACAGATCCAAATTAGGCATAAAATTTTGAAAGTGAAACCTGATGCAAGATCATGGGTTTGTTGGCAAAATCCACCAGTGGCTTTGGCACACTGAGGGTCAACGGCCGCAACCGGGTCCCGAACCCTCCAACAAGGATGAGCGCCTTCATTAATGGCAAACCCAAAAAATCCTATTTCTCTGCATGAAATTCAGAAACCAATATGCCATCAGATCCATCACACTCATAGTGTAAAAAGAAGCAAGTAACACGTTATATACAAAACAGGAACAAACAATATAAAAGCCAAAAACTGGGTTGATTTTAATTTCTTTATAGAGAAAACACACTAAAGTTGGAAATTAGGCACATGGGGTTTCTTGGGACATTCAGAAAATGCATCAACTCTGACGGGCTACAGCAGAAACAATAACGCAAACAAATGATATCGAATTGAAAAATATCTATTCAATCTTCCATTGTGAATTTTGTGTGTTATGTAAAAAATCAAATACAGAGGATTGTCAATGATGGGCAAGTAACAAAATCAATAAAGAAAATTACGCAGAAGAAGAAAAAATCATTCAACACATAACCAGGATAAATAACATGGTAAATAAAAATGAAAAAATTTGCAGAAACAAGATTCAAGAGATCTGATAATAAGAGAGTTTGACAAAATACCAAACTTTAGAGACGTAGAGATGGGGACGTAGACAGAGAGAGTGAGAGAGAAGAGCTTGCTTGCGGCTGGTACTATGATGATGGGTTTTCTATTGGTTAACCCAATCAATGGCCGCAGAGGTTTACTTTCCAGGCTTATTTCTTAAAGCAAAGGAGCTGATGGGTTTTCGCGTGCAATAGATTGTTCATCAAAGGAAAGAGGAAAATAATAATAATAATAATAATAATAATAATAATAATAATAACAAAAGTAAGCTAGGCTTTGAATCAATCTCTTTCCAGCAGAGCTGACGAGTCCTGTTTCTTCATTTTTTTTTTATTTCGTTTGATACGAACTTCCTTCTTCATCACCTTTGAGCTTCGTCAAACGACACCTCGTTTTTCTATTGTTGGCAAATCTTTTTTTTTTTTTTTGCCTCCAAAATTTTTAAGTTTTATTAATTGAGCCTTTAAATTTTTTAGTTTTAGTATTTTATTTTTTTTCGTTTTTAGTACTTTCCTCCCAAATTTTTGAATTTTTTTCCATTGATCCCCTAAAATCTTATTTTCTACACTTATTTTTAGATTTTTAACATTTTTAACCAATTTTTTAAAATTTTATAGATCACCCCATAGGTTGTTAATTTTGGCACTGCCCTATCTTCCTGTGTGAACCATTTTTATGTTTTTTAATTAGATTTGGGACTGATGTGAAGACTTGAGTACTGTGAGTTATGGTTTGAATTGAGATTTGGAGACTTTTGGTTGAAGGTGCGTTTTTTTGTCCTCACCTAAGAAGGTTATTGGCGTTTCCATTCTCTAATTAATGCCTTTAGTATTATGGAACTAATTGTAAATACGTGAGTTAGGTAAAGTACTAAAATTAAAGATTTCACGGTCAAGTTGTCAATACTTAAAAAAGTTTGAGGGCAAAATTACAAAAAAATATATATATTTTTACTTAATTACAAAATAGTCTCCAAATGTTTTTACCAAATTTTGCTTTGGGTAATGTTTAAAAGGTTTCAAAACTAACCCCGATCTAATCTTAATATGATAAATTAGTCTTTCCGTTAGTCAGTTATTAATAAAATTACGAAAAAAAACACATAAATCGTGTTTGGTGAGCAATTGGATTATTAAAGTAAGTTGTAAATCTTCCTTAAAGACCTACAAGACGTTATAACTTACATTTAGAGGGACTGTCCATATTTTAACGCAAATGTAATGGAAGATTTATTTTGCAACGCCAAGATAGATTGAGGTTTCTTTGGGGACATTTTAAACGCTAGGCATCAAAATGAGATTTAGGAGACGTTTGGTTTATGGATTAAAATCATGAAATTAGAACAATTTTCGATTTACGTGTATTTTTTATGAGAAAAAATACTATAATGAGTCACGAACCGTGATTCGAATCAAGGACCGAATCCCCCTTCCAAACGTCCCCTTAGTTAAAATTTGAGGAATGTTTTCGGGATTCTCATTGTGTTTTTTCCCCCCTTAAATCCTAAACAACACATCTTTTCATTAAAATAAAAAAAAATAAAAACACACACACGCACACACATCTTTTGAAAAAGAAAAAAAAAAGGAAAAGTGGGAAAAATGGTCTTCAACAATAGTTTTGCCTTTGACAAATACAAAAAATAGGTTTTATTTTTTATTTTTTTTTAAAAGACAAAACAAAGCTTTGAATTTTTCAACCAATAAACACACATTATTAAATGTCACCGTTTTATGATTATTATCATCATACCCCTTCAAGAATTACTATATGTGAAGACATCCACATATCAAGTTATAACTTCAACCCATATCTTAAGAGTATTTCAATCCTTTTCGAATTAGTATCACAGGAAACAAAAAATTTATTATCATTCATACTTCCTGAATTTTAGAGTTATATTCAGTTTGTCCACCAACTTTTAAAAATTCTTAAATTTCTCTTTAAATTTTGAATTGTTCTCACTTAACTCAATATGTTATAATTTCTATTAAAAACATATAAAAAAATATTAATACAGTTGCTTGGTCTTTCTATTTAAATTTTTGTTAAAATTAAATAGATAAAAACCGTATGATTACACTTAATATTTCTTTTTCCTATATGATTTTAATAGAAATTCTTACAAAAGAGTTTAAATGAGACAAATTTAAAATGTCACCGTTTTATGATTATTAAATGTCATCGTACCCCTTCAAGAATTACTAAATGTGAAGCATCCACATATCAAGTTATAACTTCAACACATATCTTAAGAGTATTTCAACCCCTTTCGAATTAGTATCACAGGAAACAAAAAATTTATTATCATTCATACTTCTTGAATTTTAGAGTTATATTCAGTTTACCCATCAATTTTTAAAAATTCTTAAATTTCTCTTTAAATTTTGAATTGTTCTCACTTAATTCAATATGTTACAATTTCTATTAAAAACATATAAAAAAATATTAATGCAGTTGCATGGTCTTTCTATTTTAATTCTTATTAAAATTAAACAGATAAAAACCGTATGATTACACTTAATATTTCTTTTTCCTATATGATTTTAATAGAAATTCTTACGAAAGAGTTTAAATGAGGCAAATTTAAAATGTCACCATTTTATGATTATTAAATGTCATCATACCCCTTCAAGAATTACTAAATGTGAAGACATCCACATATCAAGTTATAACTTCAACACATATCTTAAGAGTATTTCAACCCTTTTCGAATTAGTATCACAGGAAACAAAAAATTTATTATCATTAATACTTCTTGAATTTTAGAGTCTTATTAAGTTTGCCCACCAAATTTTAAAAACTCTTAAATTTCTCTTTAAATTTTAAATTATTCTCACTTAACTCAATATGTTACAATTTCTATTAAAAACATATAAAAAAAAATATTAACGGAGTTGCATGGTCTTTCTATTTAAATTTTTGTTAAAATTACCTGTCTGATTTTAATAGAAATTCTTATGAAAGAGTTTAAATAGAACAAATTTAAAATTTAGGAAATAAAATAAGAGTTTATAAAATTTAAAAAGTAAACTCGGAATGACTAGAAAGTTATGAAGTACAAGTGAGATTAACCTAAAAAACAAGAAAAAGAAAAAGAAAGGAGAGAGAGAGAAGAAAGATCAATAGTTGCTAGTGAAATCCATTAAGGAAGTTCCACATCGCACTAAATCTATCACCATTGATAGTAGAAGCCATTCATCTTCTATGATGCATGACTATAATTCGTCTATTATGCCAACCCCTTTTCTTTTTTGTTCCCTTTCTCCTTTCTTCGTTGTGCTTTATTTTCTAATCGTTACATGTTCGACGAAAATGCCCCACCGGTATTGAAACTCAAAAAGGCAACTAACAATAAGGAAGTTAACTATTCTAAGGAAGTCTTAGTCGTTGAAATACTAAACAAGTACTCAATCTCATCGGCGACTTCCTTCATCGACGGCCGATTCTGCCTCTGGTCGCTCAAGCAAGCACTCGCCAGCAGCCCCAAACCCTTCATGGCCTCCGTCTCGAGCTTCGAACTTCCGTCCTTAAGCGCCGGGTCCACCGCCTCCATCAGCCTCTCTTCTTTCATCATTTTCTTCACGTAAACCACCAAGTTCACGTCCTCTTCTTGCCTGCTGAAATCGATCGCCTTCATTGCGGTCAGTATCTCAAGCAAAACGACTCCGAAGCTGTAAACATCGCTCTTATCGGTGAGTTGGAAGTTCCTGTAGTACTCGGGATCAAGATACCCTAACGTACCTTGCGCGCAAGTGAAGATATGGCTGTCATTAGTCTGATTATCGCTTTGTTCAACAAGTCTCGATAGCCCGAAATCGGATACCTTTGCGTCGAACTTCTCGTCGAGCAAGATGTTGCTAGATTTTATGTCACGATGGTAGATTGGCGGCACGGCTGCAGAGTGGAGGTAGGCGAGTCCCTCCGCGGTCTGGTGGGCGATTCGGAGGCGGTGGCGCCAGCTGAGCGGAGGCAATTTTCGTGAACTGTGGCGGTGGAGATGGTCGAAGAGAGTTCCGTTGGGGACGAATTCGGAGATGAGGAGAGGCGTTTCGAGGTCGACGCAGCATCCAAGGAGACGGACGAGGCTCCGGTGGTTTACTTGGCATAGAATTCGGACTTCGTTTAGGATTTGGTCTATTCCCTTTGTATTGCCAAGCTTGGCTCGCTTGATTGCTGTGACGGTTCCGTCGTCAAAGACGCCCTTGAAGACCTCACCGAAACCGCCGGAGCCAATGAGGTTGGACTTGGAGAAGTTGTTGGTGGCTTTCGCGATCTCTTTGCCGGTGAAGATTCTTGCCGATTTGCCACTGCTCTTTGAGTTTAGGATCTGTTCTCGCTCTTTTACGAGAGTTTTCTTTGCTTCTTTCTCTGAATTCAACTTGGAGTGTTGCTTGTAGACTAAAATTCCGATTCCGATTAGTAATGGTACGACTCCGGCCACAACTCCGGCCACAACTAAAAAAAATGGAATCAATCAAAGGACAAAAAGATGTGAATACAAAAGGTAGAAATATTTACACTTTAGATGGAGAAATTAAGAAAATGAAAATTGTTACACATACTTTATTACATAAGCACTTTTTTATGATCACCCTTAATACTGTAACTAGCAAAAAATGTTTTATAAGTTGTGTGGTTGACTTATAACGTTTTGGGACTAAAATTAATATACGAGGACTATGTATGAACATGTGATTCCTCAATTAATAGTAGAGGCCTAAAAAAGTAAGGATTCAACAAGAGACATTGTTTAAATGGGTGAAAGTTACTTACCAGCAATGTGCTTCGATTTTTTCTTCTTTTTAATTTTGCAGCCTTTCCCATGTTTTGTACACTTCAAATCTATTGAAAAAAGAAAACATATATACAGTTCCATCAAACAATATGATAAAAGCTAGATAAGACACCAGACCACACTGAAAGTTATAAAGAGTGCAATTCATATGTAACAAGTAATTTTCTGAAAAAACAAAAAATTTCTAGTTTACAATTAACATGGAATAACAATATTTACATAGAGTTTAGGTAGAGAGTGTGATATTTTAGAGGGGAAAAAAAAAATTGCTTACTTTGGCTTTGACACAATCCAGTGATAGGATCCCACTTGAACCCAACATCACACATGCACCTTTTCTGCCCAACTCTAACAGGATCAGCCAAACACTTGGAATTCAAAACCTCCTTGCAATCCACTGGATTCTTACAAATTGGCTCTTTTGGCAAATCCCACTCCAACTCCATCTCTGGCTCCGGCCACCTCTTCGTTTTCATCGTCGTCAGCTCAAGCTTCGCAAAGCTCTCGTATGCAGCACATGGTTCACCTCCTCCAACACTCACCCCATAGCCATACTCCAGCAAAACCTTTCCATCAACCCTAAACGCACAGCACACTGGGGATTTCATGCATGCAATGACCGGTTTGTCCTTGATGTACTTGTGGCATTCGCTGTTCGCCGAACAATCAAGTGGTGGGCGCAACTTCTTCACAGCAGCATCCGTGCAGTTCAGGAGGAAAATAGTGTTTCCAGCGGCAATTCGGAAGGGGAGATTGCGGTCTAGCTGAATTCCCCGACTATGGTAATCACCAGCAATGCAAGCATTGGCTGAAATACCCGTTGGTCGGATGGTAATTCGTTGGGTTACCGGGTTGATGGCAATGATAGGGTAAGACGACCCATTTAGAGCGTCAAAAAAGAGTGTGCCGGCAGTGCACCGTATCTTGTATAGAGGGTACTCACCACAGCCAGGGCCGGTGCTAAGCGGGTAGGGGACTAGAGTTCGGCCGCAGTTTAGGCATGGCTGGACCGCGGTCGAATATGGTACACGTGATAGGAACGTGATGGCGATAAGGTTTATTAGTAAGTGCATTGCTTTTGTGTCCATATTGCTCGGAGTTTTTGCAATGCACTTGAGGGTTTGAAAGAAGCCAAATACTAAGTATAAGCAGAAGTAAATATGTTGCTTAAATGAAAAGGCATAGGAAGACAGGAATATTGTGATGCACGTGCAGTGCTCAAGTTGGGATCTCATTTTGTGTAATGGTTTTGAATTTTGATTGTTGGGTCTGACCTCGGTTGTTTACTTGGTCTCTTGGTTAAAGAATGTATTTGGGGTTATACTTCTGTTTCCTATGTTTGATATATATCGGGTAAAGTGCTTAACGATTACCATTTGGGATTTTTATAGGGATGCCCAAATACAGTGGATGTTCATCATCATATTACAAGAGGATTTGATCATTATATAGACTACAAGAATTTTGGTTTTTTTTTTTGCTACCAAAGAATTGGTGGCAAAAACCTTTGATTTTGATAGCAAAAATTTAATGAGTATTCTTAAGGTATAAAAGTTTTCAGCCTTGAATTTTTTACTCACCATATGATAACCTAAAATCGTACACAAGAGGTCACATATATATGTGCATATATCTCTTCATTGCTATTCAAAATTAATCCTTGAAATCAGCACATGTAGAAATTTAAATTATGTATAACATTATGTACATGTGATTACTTCCGTTAAATTTCAGAAGCCCATTATCATCTTAGGGCCTAGAACTAAAATTGCTACACAAGACGAAAGGAAGTAGTTGAATTAGAGTAAGGTTTACAGAACAAATCATCACTATACTATGCGTTGTCAAATCAACGTGGCAATGCCAAAATTTAATATCTGAGTAAAGAAAACAACTCTATATAATGCAATGTCATTTTTTATGATAGATGTGGCATATGCTTTACTAGGTACACCAAAGTGTATAGTATACACTTAGGCCCCATTCATTTCGCCAATTTGAGTTTTGCTACAGTAAAAAGCTCTCACAAACAGCCACATCTAATTTTTTTACTATAATAAAAAGCTCTCACATAAAGTTACATCTTAACTTGAATTAAAAACTTGAATCAGCGAACTAAATGGACCCTTAACTTTGTTTCACTTTTCCTTTAATCATCATAACTTTATTATTTCAAATTATTTTAAAAGTTAACAATGCATTATTTTAAATAGCAACATATTAAATTTTCATTTTCCATACTTTTTGATACTAAACATAACATAATTAATTCACGATCAATAAAAATTTTAGAAGCCAATTGTTATAGCCTTAGTGTCCGTTTAGTTCGTTGATTCGAGTTTGAGATGTGACTTTATGTGAGAGCTTTCTACTATAACAAAAAAGTTAGATGTGACTGTTTCTGAGAGCTTTTCACTGTAATAAAATTTGAATTCTAAACTCGAATCAGTAAAATGAATGGGTCTTTAATCTCACAATATATGGTTCCACGGTGATCTCAACATTGATACCTTTAAGTTCGAATTTTCTAAAAAAAAAAAAAAAAAAAAAAAACGGAAAATCCCATATAAAACACTAAACTCCAGAAGGTCGATTAGCTTTCCAAACAACACAAGTACCCTTTTAAATTGATTGATCCACTATAATAATCCAACTTCTTGATGGCTAAAAAGGGTCATAATGATCATGTGCTACATCGCAAAACATAGTTCACCTTCTCATGACCAGTTTCCAGTTCTTTCAACTTCGATCTTTGCGATGGTCATTTGTTCAAGAAATTAACGACACAACAACCAACAAAAGGATGTGTTAAAGGGAATAAAGAATTAACAAATACATTCCCTTGAAACCTCGCATATAGCTAATATAAATATACATATATATATATATATGTATGTATTATATGTCCTTTCTAATTAATCTTGCTCTCGGGGTATGAACTATGTGTCGTACCAAATTCAACGAATTAAACGATAAAGATCTCGTAGATATGCATCACTAGCTTGAATGAGTATGCTCCCTTTTTCACGTAGAAATTAAAATTATCAAGATCCAAAGCATTATATTTCAATTCGCTTCTCAGATACGTACCATATAGGCTTATAACGGCATTCCCCAATTATCGGTTCTAGCAGTATTGTGCTTTTTTCCAAACGATTTTTAATTGGTTTCGGTTTACACTTGTAATTTTCTTATTAGCCATTAATTTACGGAAACGACACAAGCTTCTTATCATATTGAAAAGTGAAATTATTTGCTGGATATTATTTTTATTATGGTTATCTATAATCAGTTTAGACATTATTCTTTGGCAAAGAGCCACGAGTCCTTATAATTAATCAGCTAGATTTTATTCTTTGGCAGCTAGGTATTTTTATTACAGTTATTTAATATTTATAATCAGCTAGTTATTTATAACGCAAATATTTATCCCAACAATGTTATTTTTTATAAATGGGTCATAATTTTTTTTGAATGAAACTTTCTCAAATAGCGGAGAAAATTATTAAAGAATGAAAAGAATATAGATCAGAAACTCAATTTATTATTAGAATACGTTAAGAATTACATCTTAATTTTATACGAGCACGAGAGCAATAGAACACACAAGATTTATGATGGTTCATCCTCAACCCACCCAAGAGAGGAAGCTGCTTCCCGGCCCCCTTCCAACCCTCATAATGACCTATCTTAAAGATTGATTGACATTATATGGGTGCGTTTAGAACTCGTTTAGAAATGATTTTATTTTTTGTATGAAAATGAAAATGAAAACGTTTTCAATCTTAGACAGAAATCATTTTTGAAAATGCGTTTGGTAGTTTTATCAAGAGATTACTTTCAGTGTAAAAAAAATCTATTAATGTCTCTCTCTCTCTCTGCTCGAGAGAGGAGAAAACAGAAACAAAAAATGAAAACTGACTAAAAGTCATTTTTCATTTCTCTCCCATTTTACGCTAAACCAAAAAATCATTTTCATTTCTATTTTTTTGTCTTTAATTGTGCCAAACACCGTTTATCTCCATTTTTTTATTTTTTCTTTCTCGAAAAATGTGAAAAATAAAAATAAAAATAACTCCAAACACAGTCTATATGTATCAGCACATCATGGCTAAACAGCTGAAAGAATATTCTTTACTTACACAGTATTTTTCTTACAAAATTTTGATCGTCACATCATGTTATGGGTGAATGAATCACAACCAAAAGTTGTAACCAAAATACTTTAGTCATAAAAATAATTTTGATAATACGTTTCCAAAGATAGATTGGCCCTTGGGGTATGTGCTGCTTTGATCAATGACCTACAACAAAATTCCTATATAAAAACAACATAAATACAAATTGGGGAAAAGAGCAATAAGTTTCGCTTTGATCCCTATTGCTTGAAGACTGAAAATTCAATCCCCTTAACGAGTTTTACCTTCTGAACCTCTTGTGAGAATGTGATTAGGGATTAGATTTTACCCGCAAGAAAGATTTCCATGGTTCTCTTGTTTCCTTCTTTTGTTCTCTTTTCGGCCAACAATGGATTTCAAAAAATGAGATTGATGTGCCCAAGCAAGAAGGGTCCACTGTAAGTTGACAACATTAGAGACAACAATGTTATTTCTCAATTCCGAAACATTACTGAGATATCTTTTCAACCAATCACAAATTTACATATGTTACGAATCCCTATATATAGAGAAATTTTTCATAGTTCATATGTCAAATCTCTAAAGACTTAGTATGAGTACTCGTGAGTGATATAATTATCAATTGTTTTAAAGCTTTTCTCTTTTTCTCTTCATCAAACCAAAAGCTAGAAATTTTTCATAGTTTTTTATATGTCAAGCTCTAACGACACAGATGAGTGGTGAGTGATAATTATCATTTTTTTTTAAAAAAACTATTCTCCTTTTTCTCTCCATCCAACCAAAAAAGCAAAATCTTCTTCTATTTCTCAGTGTGTTCTTTCCATAAATTGGATGACCATCCTCTTGATACTACCCAAATTCTTATATAAGAAAATACAACAAGTATCTATAACATGTAGACGCATTTCGTATATTAGATAAAACGTTGGATAGGGATCATTTTGGGGCTTCATAACTTTTGGAGCCTATAGAAGATCGCCTTTGTAAATATAGGATAAAATACCCTTTAGATAAAATTACAGAATTTACCTTTAAAAATATATGAGTCTCGATTTTACTCTTCATTATTGATTAATACCCTTTTATAAGTATAATTATTTGATTAAAAAGTTATTAATTAAGAATAATAAGTAGAAATCTTGACACATACACTTTTAAGGAGTGTTTGTCTCCTTTCCCTATTACTTTATCCTTCCCCAGAAGGACTAACTTGATACGTTATAATCCTTCTTTTTTTTAACATTATTTCAGCCAATTAAATTTAATGGATATATTTGGATTTTATTACGCAAATAACTTTTCATTTTCAAGATTTTTTCATGAAAAATAGTAGCCAAATTCTATCTTACATTAAACACAGGATAACTATAATCTTTATGAATTCGATCATATCCAATCCGAAGCAATTATCCAATTTAATCCGGCGCCACGGCAAATGTGTGAACTCTGGATCTGAATTAAGAAATTAGTTGTAACAATTTATGGAAAAAAAAAGAAGAAAAAATGGTTAGTCTTCGTTGTAACAATCTCTTCAGCGACATGTTTCATTGTAGGCCTATTTTGCCTCCTCTCAATGTTTTGTCAGTAGAAGTAGTAATCATAAAAATGATGACAACTTAATTTAATACTAGAACACTAGTTAAAAGTTTTAACTCAACAATGTGTACATACTTTTGATTATGTAAATACTTTTTAGGCACATCTAATAAGACCATCATATTGGTGGGACTATTTTGATTATGAAAGCCAAGAATTCTTGTGGAAATTTGAAATCCATCCTTTCTAGTAGTATTGATGCTGTCTTCTGAAGTTTTTTAGCTTCTAGATATTTTGCCACTAACTATCACAGTTAGTCAAATTCAAGAAACTAAAATGCTACCATTATTAAGAGAGAAAGGAGATAAATAAATTTAAATTTTTATCCTTTACTCTCGATTATTATTATTTTT